TGTTATACCGCCACGGTAGTCAAAACAGCCTTGTACTGATACAACAACAGATGCATAGACCAGTGGAATAGCATTGAGAATCCAGACATAAATTCATCCACCTATGAGCAACTGATATTTGACAAAGGCCCAAAGTTTGTTAATTGGGGAAAAGATAGTCTCTTTAACAAATGGTGCTGGGTAACTGGGTATCTGTCTGCAAAAAACTGAAACAAGACCCATACCTCACACCATGCACAAAAACTAATTCAAAATGGATCAAAGACTTAAATATAAAATCGAAAATGATAAAGATCATGGAAGAAAAAATAGGGACAATGCCAGGAGCCCTAATACATGGCATGGCATAAACACAATATGAACCATAAGTAACAATGCATAAGCACTAGAAGAGACTAGATAACTGCGAGCTTCTAAAAATCAAACACTTACACTCATCAAAAGACTTCACCAAGAGAGTAAAAAGACAACCTACAGACTGGGAAAAAATTTTTGGCTACGACAAATCCGATCAGCATCTGATCTCTAAAATCTAGAAGATACTGAAAACCTCAACAAGAAAAAGACAAATAACCCAATTAAAAAATGGGCAAAGGATACAAACAGGCACTTCACCCAAGAAGATATTCAGGAGGCTAACAGTCACATGAAGAAATGCTCACAATCACTAGCCATTAGAGAAATGCAGATCAAAAGTACAATGTGATATCATCTCACCCCAACAAGGCTAGCATTAATCCAAAAAATGCAAAATAATAAATGCTGGAGAAGTTGTGGACAGACTGGAACACTTATACGCTGTTGGTGGGAATGTAAAATGGTACAACCACCTTGGAAATTGACTTGGCGCTTCCTTAAAAAGCTAGAAATAGAAGTACCATACGATCCAGGTATCCCGCTCCTTCGAATATATCCTAGAGAAGTAAGAGCCATCACATGAATAGATATATGCACACCCATGTTCACTGCAGCACTGTTCACAATAGCAAAAAGATGGAAACAACTTAGATGCCCATCAACACACGAAAGGATAAACAAATTATGGTATATGTACGCAGTGGAATAGTACGCAATGATAAACAACAACGATGAAGCCGTGAAACATCTTATAACATGGAGGAATCTGGAAGGCACTATGCTGAGTGAATTCAGTCAGTCACAGAAGGACAAATATTGTGTAAGACCACTATTGTAAGAACTTAAGAGAAGGTTAAACACAGATGAAAACATTCTTTGATGGCTACGAGGGTGAGGAGGGTTATTCACTAACTAGATAGCAGACAAGTATTATGTTAGGTGAAGGGAAGGACAGCACACACTACACGGGAAGTCAGCACTACTGGACTAAACCAAAGCTAAGAAGTTTCCTGAATACAATCAAACACTTTGAGGGACACAGCAGCAGGGGTAGGGGTCTGGGGACCATGCTTTCAGGGGACATCTAGGTCAACTGGCATAACAAAGCTTATTAAGAACATGTTCTGCATCCTACTTTGGTAAGTGGCGTCTGGGGACTTAAAAGCTTGCAAGCGGCCATCTAAGATGCAGCAATTGGTCCCAACCCCCTGGAGTAAAGGAGAATGAAGAACACCAAAGACACAAGGAAAGTACTAGCCCAAGAGATAGAAAGGGCCACAAAACCAGAGACTTCATCAGCCTGAGACCAGAAGAACTAGATGGTGCCCAGCTACCACCAATGACCACCCTGACAGGGAACACAACAGAGAGTCCCAGATGGAGCAGGAGAAAGGTGGGCTGCAGAACTCAAACTGTAGTAAGAAGACCAGACTTAATGGTCTGACTGAGACTGGAGGAATCCCGGAAAGCGTGGCCCCTGGATTCTCTATCAGCCCAGAACTAAAACAATTTATGAGGCCAACTCTTCAGACAGGGATTGGACTGGACTTTGGGACATAAAGTGATACTCGTGAGGAGTGTGCCTCTTAACTCAAGTAGATACAAGAGACTAAACAGGCAGCTTCTGTCCGGAGGTGAGATGGGAAGGTAGAGAGGGTTAGGAACTGGTTGAATGGAAATGGGGAATCAGGGGTGGAAAGGAGGAGTGTGCTGTCACAGTATAGGGAGAGCAATTAGGGTCACATAACAATGTATGTATAAATTTTTGTATGGGAGACTAACTTGAAACATAAACTTTATCTAAACTACAACAATTTAAAAAAATGAAAAAAGAAGAAATCAAAAGACGCATTACATTGGGCAAATCTGCTGCAAAAGGCCTCTTCAAAGTGTTACAAAGCAAAGATGTCACCTTGAGGACTAAGGTGCACCTCACCCAAGCCACAGTATTTTCAACTGCCTCATATGCATGCGAAAGCCGGACAACGAACAAGGAAGACTGAAGAAGAACTGATGCATTTGATTCAAGGTGCTGGCAAAGAATACTGAATATATCACGGACTGCCAGAAGAATGAACAAATCTGTTATGGAAGAAGTACAGCCAGAATGCTCCTCAGAAGCGAAGATCGTGAGACTTTGTCTCATGTACTTTGGAGATGTTATCAGGAGGGACCAGTCCCTGGAGAAAGACATCATGCTTGGTAAAGTAGAGGGCGAGTGAAAAAGAAGACCCTCAACAAGATGGACTGACACACTGGCTGCAACAAAGGGCTCAAACACAGTAATGATTGTGAGGATGGCACGGGACCAGGCAGTGTTTCATTCTGTTGTATGCAGGGTTGCTGAGTCAGAACTGACTTGATGGCAACTAACAACAACAACAACGCAAATAAGGCATGTAAAACTTGCAGGGATTGGACACCGACTATACAGATAAGGTTCCTGTGGCCTATCAAGGGGATTGGTCAGTTTTGCCATCTTGCTAGGCTTAAAAGAGCCAATCCCACAGAGGCTGAGGGGGACCTCATTACCATAGAGAAGAAGAGCCAGGAGTGCACCCGGTCCTTTAGACCTGGGGTCCTTGCGCTAAGAACCTCCTAGACCCAGGAGAGAGCGCTAACGCTGAAGACTGCGAGAGACTACAAGAGATGGTAGCAAGAGCAGCAGCAGCAGGAGTGGTGAGAACCAGGAGACTGATGAAAGATGGCTGCAGTAGGGCTTGCTGACTCATGCAGCTAAAGAGCTATAACAGTTTCCTGAGCAGGGCCCAGCAGCAGAGGCCAAGAGCAAGGCCTGCCTAAGAGCACAGCCAAAAAGAAGCTGTCCTGATTGAAGAACTGTATCCTGAGTTGTTCCTGTTACTTTCAAGTGGATCGTGATCCTGAATTGTAACCTGTTTCTCCCCTAATAAACCTCATAATCATGAGTATGATCAGTGAGTTCTGTATGGCCATTGCAACGAATTATAGAACCCAGCAAAGAAGCAAAGAGTGTCGTGGGGAAGAGAGCGGACAGCTGGTGTCAGGACTGATGAAAAGGTTGGACAGTGGAGTTATGTCTGACCTCCGCCTCATAGGACTTAGCCTTGGGCTGATCTTGATGGTAATTCTCATCATCCCCTCTCCTAAATTTAGACAGGTTCTGACACTACTACCACCCTATTTTACCTCCCAACTTTGTCTACCAGCAAAAATCAATTATTTTAAGGCCTATCACAAAAACCTCTTTACTGTGACTTTGCTGCTCCCTCATCTGTGGTACCATAGCAACATATCCTACATTATATTTATCTGCTCATCTTTCATTATAGTTCTATATTAAACTCCTATCTAGTTGTAGGGATTGTGCATTATAGTGCAGTAGTTAAGAGTGCAGACTCTGAAGTCAAACTGTCCAAGTCAAGGCTCCAGAATTTATTAGTGGTAAAACTTGGAGAGTTTCAGTATCTGTTTCCTCATAAATGCGTGAATACATGAAAAGCTCTTAGAACAGTGCTTTGTACACAGTAAGCGCTCAATGAATGCTACTTATTATTATCTACTTATATAATCCATAATGAAAAAAGAGAGATTTTCTTTTGAAGAAAGAAATTTTCCTCCAAAAGCCATATGGGACTCAACCTGGGGCCTGTAAGCTGATGAATGGTAGGCAGGGGGGTCAGCAATGTCTTGCTAAGAAAATTAACATCTAGGGTATAAGAAGGATGAACACAGCAGGGGTTCTTCAACCTTTCTGGGAAGAGGGACCGTTTCTTTTCATTTTCCTACTGTCAATAAGTTTACCAGGGGAGGGACGGAAATGGTAGAAACAGCAGAGTCAAAATATTAAGAGCCTCAAATTCTCTGAGGCAGGAAGGGATTCATCATACTCACAGACCATTATGCCTTAGGTGAGGAAGCCAGTGCTGCTACCTGTGCACCCCTCCCTACCAGTATTCTAGGCTAATGTGAAGGGGGGTGAGGTGAGAGGGTGAAAGATGACCCCACTAGGGACTTGAGGATCCATGAGGATTTTCTGATCTACTGCCTGGGGACCCATGAGTTTGCAATATAACAATTTTAGGTAAATTTGGAAATACGGAAAACAAAACCAGATTTAGTTAAAACAGAGATTAAGAATAATTAAAAATTAGTGAAAAAACTAACTTTGCTCAAGTACAGCATACAGGAAAGTGCCCAGGTAGACAGAGGTTTCAATTCTGGTTCCACTTGTACTAGCAACATTACTTTGGACAAGCTTATGACACTCAAATTCCTTATCTGTACGATGGGATCAATAATTCTACCTTGCAGACCAGTTGGTTTTAAAGACTAGAAATAACGTATAAAGACACCTAACAGAGTATCAGGCACTTAATAGTGCTACTTTAATATTATCAATGATTTGATTTATAAATGTATTTCTTTCAATAGAGTACTCTCTACCAAGCTTAAGGTTTAATAATTTTTTTATAATAATTAAAAAAAAAACCATTAAATGGAAAAGTATGCAATTTTCTCTGCTATAGTTAAGTGTATCTATGGAAAAGGTGGTAAATTATTAGCAGGAAATTAACAACTTCATAAAAGGCAGTCTCATTCAAATAAGTATCTAACAAAGGATAGCAATTGTTGCATAGCATTCTTTGGACAGATTCTCTTACCTGGAGCTGAGCTTCACTCTTGGGATCCAGTGGTCTCTTATAAAGTAAATGTAGATATCCAGAGTCACAACTTCTTTCATTTTGTTCTCTGGCTTCTTCAACACCAGCAAAGCCCTCAAGTAAAGTTGTTTTCAGGGTACTTATATCACCATGAAGAGACTGGAAAAGGCACCAGAAGATTCTTATACAAAAAGTTGTATTTCCAAGAAATAAAAAATTTCTGTCTAGATCAAAGAAGGTGGTGTTTCTCAAATATTTAACATAATAAACATTGAAATATACTTAACAGTCATGTAAAAAAAAAAGTCACTGTTTGGAAAGAAAGATACTAATGTTTTTAAAAAATTTTTTTTTGTTCCTCATTAAAAAAATAACATTCTAATGATAGAAAACAAAGATAATAAGAAAAGTATTGACAGGATCCATAATAATCCCACTACCCAAAGACAGTCACTGCTAATGCCATGGAGAATTTTTTCTTTTCCAAACATGTTATTTAAGACCAGAGCTCTGGAATGAGACAGCCCAAACTGGGATCCTGGCACTACCACTAGCTAAATGGGAGACTTTGGGCAAATCACTTCACCTCTTTAAGCCTCTGTTTCCTCACTTGCAAAACAGAGATAAGCGATACTACCCACCGCACAGGGAAGTTATGGGGATTCAATGAGATAATACAGGGAAAGTGTTGAGCACAGTGCCTGGTACACAGTAAGCAGTAACTAATACTAACACAGCAAATAATATCATTAACAAAAAATATTTGATAGTTTTATGCTACATATGCTCTTAAAATTTCTGCTTTTTTTACCTAGCATTGTAAGACACAGTAAATTTTCAAATGTACCTGTTACAGATTGAATTATGTCCCCAAAAAACAGGTGCTGTAAATCCTACTATACCTGTGGTTATAATCCCACTTGGGAATAGGGTTTTCTTTGTTATGTTAATGAGGTAGTATTAGTATAAAGTGTGTCTTAAATCAATGTCTCCTGAGATATGTAAGAGCAGAGTAAGCAGGCAGCAAGTAGAGCAGAGATGGGGGAAGACAGATGCCAAGCCACATGAAGATCACCAATGAACCAAGGAATAAGGACTTTCCCCCAGAGCCAACAGAGAAAGCCTTCCTCTAGAGACAGTGCCCTGAATTTGACTTCTAGCCTCCTAAACTGTGAGAAAATTTGTTTGTTAAGGCTACCCACTTGTGGTATTTATGTTATAGCAGCACTAGATAAGTAAGACAGTATCTAAACTAAATTAGCAATTAAAATAAACTTTTATAGAATGCCCAATATGTGCCAATTGGGTAGAAACTATTGTTATCCCACTTTACAGATAAAAAAACTAAAACAGAGTAGCTAGATGAATTTACCCAAAGGCACATGATTCACTCAGTGTTGAAGGCAGGATCTGAACTCAGGCATTCCTAGGTAAATTACTTATCCACATAAAAACGACACTGGTGGACCCTGAAGAGATAAAGTATAAATACCCCTGGAGTACTAAGAGAACAAATTTTTAAGATGTTAATTCAAGTCAAGAAAAATGGCAATAAACACAAACCTCTGTCGTCTCTTTAATCTCCAAAAGAAAGGTGTGCAAGTCATCTGATTCTGTTCGCAGCATCTTCATCTCCTCAGAAGTGCCCACTTGAAAACAGGCTTTGGAAGTCCGGGCTTTCAGCTCTTCCAACTCCTTTTGAAAGTGTGCAATCTGTAGAATCCACAAATAAAGAAACTACTCAGTCTTACCGGCCAAGCAGTAATGCCACTGCTACTAGATTTACTCATGGCACTGACTCCTGGGATAGACCAAGCTTCAATGGGAGAATAAGGTGGTCATTAGGAGTCTACACTCAGAACCATTAACTCTCATGGTCAGAGCTACTGCTGAGAAACATCTGCAGGATACACATTTACCTCCTCCCCGATTCCAGCCATCACAGGATCTGACTCTTTCCACTGATGTCCCTGCTTTTCTGAAACCGGAGGCTGAAGTGCTTTCGCCTGAAACAGAAGGCAGAAGGTTTAAGAGTGCATCCTATACTCCAAGTTATGGCTTCTTGAAGCAATATATCAGTGCCTGTCAGAGGTAACTGCACTCTCATAATACAGTCATGGTTCCATCATTCATTCTTTGGAACACATTTTTACTGGATACCCATTTTGTATTGACCCATTCTAGACATCAGAGAAAGTGGTGAGCAATAAATAAAGGCCCTACTCTCATGGAATTTATCTCCTACTATGGCAAGATGGAAAATAAAAAGTAAACTAGTCAGATAACTGCAGCTGCTGATAAGTGGTATGAAAAAAATCAGCAGGAAAACATAAAGAGAATAAAAGGGGACACTACTTCAGTGAGATGGCTGAGAAAGTCCTCGCTCAGGGTGACATCTGAACTGAGACCTGATGGAATACGGGACAAAGCTATGAAAAGATCTGGGGGAAGCACCTTCCAGGCTGCGAGAAGAGCAGTGCAAAGAATTTGAGACAGGAAAGACCTTGGCATGTTCCAGGCAAAGACAGTAAATGTGGTTACGGTGAAATCAGGGAGTGAGCGGAAGAAGATGGGAATGCAGGGGCAGGTTGTGCAAGGCCACGATAAGGAGTCTGGATTTTATTCTAAGTGTGTTGGAAAGCTAATGGAGTTTTAGTAGAGTTTAAACTACAGTTTATGTTTTTAAAAGATCACTCTCGCTGCTGTGTATGGCATGGATGACGGTGAGAGGTAGGGGCAGAAGTAGGGACACTAGTCAGGAGGCTAACTAGGTGAGAGATGATGACGACTTGAAATAGGATGCTGGCAGGGAAGACAGAGGCATGGATTTACAATATATGATACATCAGAGGGAAGAAGTGACAAGACCTTCTGTTCGGCTGGATGAGGGGAGGTGCTGCTAAAGAAAAGAGAGGAATCTAGGATGGCTCCTCAGTTTGGAGCTTGAATACCTGGTTTGGTAGGGCTACTTACTAAGATGAGGATACTAGAAAAAGAATGGATTCTAGGGGGACAGAAATAAAAAATTCTGTTTTAAAGATGTTATAATCTGAGATGCCTTTCAGACTAGTTGATACAAACAACAATAAACATGAAAGAGGTTTTAGACCGCATAAACATTTTTTAAAACAGCAAACATCTATTAAACAAATACCATGTGCCATGCGTTATGCCAAAAGCTAGAAGTGTTAACTGAGCATTCAATGTGACTAGGGGAAGAGACACAAGGAAAAGATATGACTTCTATTCTCAAGGCACTCAAATAATTAGGTGGGCAACTGACAAAAAAATTCTCTTTAAGCTACACTATCAAAATAAACTGAAGTGATGAATTGCAGATCTAAATATGAAAAGTAAAATAATAAAGCTTTTAAAGGAAAATATCTTTTTGATCTTGCAATAAGAAATGACTGCTAAAAAGGTCGCAAAAAGTACTAATCATTAAAAAAAACTGATATACTGAACTATATTATTACTAAAAAACTTATATTCGTCAAAAGAAACCACAAAGAGAATGAAAAGGCAATTCACAGAGTAAGAAAGCACCCACACATTCAAGGAACTAATATCCAGAATATACAAAGAACTCTCATGAATCATTAAGAAAAAGACAGATGATCCAATAGAAAAATGGACAAAAGATGTGAACAGACATTTCATAAAAGAAGATAACCAAATGGCCAATAATGATATTTTTTAAATGTTCAATTTTGCATCATCAGGGAAATATAAATTAAAGCCACAAAACACAAGATGTAGAACAGCTGGAACTGTCATACAGTGCTGGTGGAAATTTACTAAGGAGGAATTACATGCATACTCTATAACCCAGCAATTCCACTCTTAGATATATGCCCAACAGAAACGCATACATTGTTCAAAGACATGACCTAGAATGTTCAAAGCAACACAATTCATAATAGCCTAAAACTGGAAACTACTCAAATGCCCATCAAAGTTGAATGAATAATTGTGATACAGTCACACGATGAAATTGCATATATCAACAATTTGGTATGGGTAAATCTCATAAACATAACAATGAGCAAAAACAGTCAGATACAAGAGTATGTACTGTAGGATTCCATTTAATGGAAGGTACAAACAGGCTAAACTAATCTATGCTGTTAGAAATCAACTGGGCATTTACTTTTGGTGAAGGTAGTGATGAGAAGGGGACACAAGGGGGAACTCTTGGGTCCTGGTAATGTTTTATTTCTGGATCTGGGTGCTGGTTACCAAAGTTTGTTCAGTTGGTGACAATTCATTGAGCTGAATGCATATCACGTGTGTACTTTTTCTATGTGTATTATACATAAAAATAAATAAATAAAAGAAATTGAGATGGTATGGGAACTCAGTGAAATCTATCCAGTGCCCTAGGATTGAGATCCAATAATCTAGGACCCTCCATAATAACCCAGGTAAGTTCAGGAATCAGAAGAGAAAAAGACTTCTAAGACTTCAGGGTGGAGATTAATGCTTTTTAGGAGTACATATTATAAATATCCAACCTTCACACTTTGGTATTTCTCATCACATACTCCTAAATACTATTTCAAAGGTCTAAATTCTAAATCGTGAAAATCCATTTTATAAACAGATATGCTTGGGGCAGTGAACAAACACAAGCATTGTAAGCTGAATTTAAACACACCTGGGGAGAACCTGACTTGGCCACTGGAGGGGTAATCCTGGGTGACTTCTGTACCATTGAGAATGCTGGAGTCGGACTGCCCTGAGCAGATCGTCCTGTGAGAATAAGCAGTCAGTCAAAACAGACAGGATTTGTTCCCAGTACTTTTCCCATCACAAATGTCCTTTCCCCAAATCTAAGAAAACAAGTTACTGATTGTCCCTCATCCCCTTTTATGACCTTTGTAGTCTAGAGTGTTGTCTACCAGTTGTGTTAGCCTCTGTTCCAAGATAACTGAAAAACACGGGTTAGATTTTTAAACATGAAACCCTTTTACAAAGCAGATAAAACTGAAGTGCCTCTGGTAACAGGTATGTGTATCTATGTGCAGGGCCCAGAAACCTGGTCATTTGGTCCACCCTTACTCCCCACAGAGGCTCCTGATGCACCTCTGAGAACTGGAAAACAAAGTTTTAAAACCACTAGAACAATAATCCCCATCATCTTGTAAGAAGTCACAGGGTCTTCAGGACCCTCCTGGAAGTCTTTCAGACAAGTCTCACCCTACTGTGCATTAAAATCACCTAGGCAGCTTTTAAAAAACACACCAAAAAGCCATACCTAAGCCTTATCCCCAGAGTCTGATTAAATTGTTAAGAGTGTGTGTTAGGGAGTAATTCTAGTGTGCAATTGGCACTGAGATCCAATAATCTAGGACCCTCCATACTAAAGGTAATGGAGGTAGGGAGAATTGAGTGGTGTGCAATGGAAAGGGAGAAATTATATGTACTTTGTGGTTCAAGTTTTATCTCCCAAACAGTAAAGAGATGTGAAATGACTAAGGCAAAGCTTCTTCATTTTTTGGGTCGAAGAAAAATGCCTTCCAGATTCTGATAAAAACCATGGGCCCTGGAATGAAGAGGTTTTGGCAAATTTCACAAGGCAGTCCTTTCTCCTGGGTGACAAGAGAAGATTTCAGGAATTTCAATAGCTCAATGCTTGTTCAATATTATCAAAATAATATTTGACACTCAAAAACCAAATGGCTACCCCAAAACTTCACGCCAGGTATTATCCCTGGCACTCATGAAACTAACCAACTTAAAAGCTGTGAGGGATCTAGCAGACACCACCTTAACCATGTGAGCACCTAGGTCCGGAGAAACGGAAGGCATGTGCTGCTAAGGTGATACACATGACCTACGTGGCATCACTGCCAAAAATGTTTAATCTAAATCTAATCATGTGGAAACAAGCAAATCCAAACTGAAGGACAGTCTGCAAAACCATATTTCCATTCTTGGTGGTTATTTGATAGTCTTTTTGCTTACAGTAAGTATGAGTGTGAAAATATAAATACAGTAGCCAGAGGCAACAAGCATTAGTCACTGCAAACCCTTTTTCTTCTATGCACCTTAATGAATTGTTCTGTAACTGCCCTTCATGCACAGCAGGCTTTATCTGAAGATAAGTAACTAACCACAAGATATCTTCTTTGAATCATCAAGTACACTTATCTCCACGAGGAATATCAGAGAAACAAGCATGGTAGTACTAAGCCACTGCAAATCCTCCCAATTTAGAGTCTGCAAATCATAGCACATTAGTGTGAGATACAGGGAGCAAGAAAAAATAATCTTGTCTAACTATTTTGGCTAGGATTCTTAACGACTTTGAAAAATGTTAATCTGAGACTACAGGACTGAGTTCTAAAGCTGGTTGCTTAAAATGATACCTGCTGCCGAGGGAGAGACTGTGGGCTTTAATGTCACGGAACTGGATGGTGCTGAGAGAGGCGTGGGGTGGCTGAGGGACCCAGAGGAACCTGTCTTTGAGGCAGGAGAGAATGGCAGCATCGAGGGTGTGCTCTGTGAGCTATTAACAGGAGCAGAGGTAGCCACAGCAGTAAACCTGAAAATGGAAAATGGCAGCCAAGAATGCATCAGAACAGCCTTCTGTAAGATTCTTTCACTTGGGTCATGAGCAATGTCATCATAAGATATCTTACTACCCATGCCTTTTTGCCCTCATGAAACGTAAACATTATTATAAAAGGTGAAAGTTGTAAGAAAGCATTTATCGTATTGTCTGCTTGTTTAGGAATGAATTATTCAACTAAAATATCAAGTAAGTACTTAACGTGAGGATGAAACTAAGTTTACCATGATGTTGTTACGTGCCATCGAGTCAATTACAACTCATACCAAAACTAAAACCCACCACCAAGTCAACTCCAACTCACAGTGACCCTATACAACAGAGTAGAACTGCCTCATAGGGTTTCCAAGGCTGTAAATCTTTACAAAAGCAGACTGCCTCATCTTTCTTCTGCAGAGCAGGTGGTGGGTTCAAACTGCCAACCTTTCAGTTAGCAGCTGAGTAGTTTAACCACCGTGCAACCAGGGCTCACAGGGTTTCCTAGGTCTTTTCTCCCACGGAGTCACTGGTGGGTTTGAACAACCAACCTTCTAATTAGCAGCTGAGCACTTTAACCATTGTGTCACTAGGACTCCTTGTTTATCATGATAGGAAATACTTATTTTCTATTCTATCAACCTGAGTTAAAAAAAAAAAAAAGGTGGCGTGAGACTCAATAATGCTTAGGGGAGCTTACTGTATTTTTACGCAAATAACGGGCACCTTCTATGTCTATTTGCCAACCATGCCCTCCCCCTCCCCCTGCAAGGTATCTTCATAAGTACTGCCTTTCCAATTATTTTTTACATGTTGTTGTAAAAAAAAAAAAAAAATTAGCATAGTGCACTTATGAAAATACCTCATGGGCGGAGGGCGAGGTTGGCAAACAAATGTAGAAAGTGCACGTTATTTGAGTAAAAATACAGTAGTACTTTGTCTTTTGCCAAAGAAATTATTAAGCATTCATTTTGGGGGATGATTGCTGTTGCTCCTGTTGCTGTCATTGTTACTGCTAATGTTAAATCAGCACACAGAGAGCCACTTCATCCTAATGTCTGCATAGTGTTGCGTTTTCTGGCTGCACCATAATGTATTTGACCAGTTAACTAATGCTGGATATTTATATTCTAACACTCAACCTGATCTTTTGCTCTTTAGGTAGAACTGACTCAACATTCCTATTGGACCGTAAGCATCCCAAAGATGACAACCTGCTTTCCTCTTCCTTTCTCACTCCCTAGAAGCAATCCACCAGCCACTCCTTGGAAACCTTAAACTTTGGAAATCCTACGGGACAGTTCTACTCTGTCCTATAGGGTTGCTATGAGTTGGAATCGACTTGATTTCAACAGGTTTGGTTTTGGGTTTCGGTAGTGAAAAAAGGTGGTAGTATTTATTACCCTCAATGTTATCTTGGTAAGGGTTACAGGATAAAGGGGATTACGTCCCTCAAGAAGCTTATATTCTAGTGGGGAGAACACAGTAAGCGGATAAAGAATAAATAAGATATGAGTGATAAGGCAGGACCCAGATCTAGAGGAAACTGTATACCATGCTAAAGAGTTTGGATTGTATCCAAAGGGCAACGAGAAGCCAATGGAGACTGTCAGGCAGAAGAGTGACCTGATGTGTTTGCAATTTCACAAGATCACTTCAGTGGCTGTGCAGTAAATAGCTTAGAGAGAGTGGACACAAGGGGATAAAAAGACTACAAGGTATTTATTTCCCTTACAAGATGTATACTCTTTATTACTTCACTTTTAAAAATCAGGATATCTCCTACATTTGTAATCTGAAAAAGCAAAGCAAATATTGAAATACGGACCTCTAATAATTAAAAAAAAAAAATTCTAACTAAGAGACTCTTCTGGACTCCAACCACTGACAAAATGCAAACCTTTTACGTTGTTTGAATTTTTACCATTTCCAAGTATTACTTTGGAAAAAAGAAAAAGAGAAACTCTAGTTACAGTGACTCTACTTCTAGTGAATAACATGCAGCATTTCTACTTATCCTACAGAAGAATCAAACCTCCTTTAAAAGCTACTTACTTTTCACTAAGGTTGGCTTTGACTGCAGAGGCTGAAGGTGGGAAGGAGGACTTCATTCCTATGTTTGGCATAGATATACTTGGCACTGGCGTGCTTTCCAGGGTAGGTTTAAAACTTGATGACCCGAAGGAGAATGAAACAGCTGATGGTGCCATAGGAGATGCCACAGGGGTGGGGGCTAGAGGGGTTTTAGAAGGAGGAGCAAAAGAGAAGGTCGGTGCACCAGAGCCCAGGGTTGGTTTAGAATTGTCTGATGCAACGGAATGTGGAGGGGGTTCCCCAGTGACAGAAGCAGATGACTTCAAGGATGAAGAACCAAAGGAGAACACGGCAGAAGCTCCAACAGCAGACGGCAAAGAGAAGGTGGAGGTGGAAGCAGTGGGTAATGCAGGTGGAACAGAAGTAGGAGCTGCAGCTGCTGAAGCATCAATCTTTTGTGGGGCTTGAGAGGAGGTTGGGGTTGTGGGAGTACTTCCTGCAATGAAAAAGATGGAGAAAGAGGAAGGAAGAAGTTAACACTGTAACAGTGGCAGTCCACATAACAGAGAGCAAGCAGAAAAGGGTTTATGGTAGAATGAAGGCAGAAATGGTCCTAGTTCAAGAAGCAAAAAACAAGGGAACAGAGTTGATCTTGGACTTTACGTAGCAAGAATTCCATGACTGATGTATAAAATTTTGAAAGGAAATGGGAAAAGACATTAGCTGGCTAAAGAGGACTTCATGGGCCCCCAATTTAGTAAGATGGAAATACACCACACGTCTTAATGTTATTGTGGTATCACAAAACAATGAAGAGTAAGTCACTGCAACATTTCATTAACAATCAAGAAAAGGTCTTGATTCAGACCTCCGCCTCATAGTATTCACTAAAAGCAATTCCAGATGAATTAAAGACACGTATGTGCAAAAGCACATATAGACATATATCTCAAAACAAAGGAGGCAAAAAGTGAATTGATGTATTTGTTAAGTATCTGAGAATCTAACAACTTGATAAATTTAGAAGCTTTAAAAAAACCACAAAAAGATTAAGATTTGACTCAGTAAAAACATAGTTATTTAGATATGATAATTAAAAAGTAAATGAACTAACAAAAAGCTGCAGCAAATGACAAACAATATCTATTTTATATATTAAAAAAAATTCATACACATTGAGATAAAAAATTTCGGGCCAATAATTGATGTAAACTAGAAGCCTAATTGACAAAAACAAACTATATTCAATCTAATTAAAGAAATGCAAATTTAAATGAAGTATATTTTTGAATGTCCTCTAAATCATCAAAATTTAAATATATATAACCTCAATGTCTGAAAAGGTACAATGAATCTTGAACTTCTTATCACTAGGGGTTATCTAATTTAGCACAGTCTTTTTAAGAAAACATTTTGTCATTATGTCCAAAAATCATTAAAAAATGGACTCAGTAACCTCACTTCTAAGAATAAAGTCTATGAAAATAATCTAAAAAGTGAAAAAGGATATAAGAACAAACACATTTTGTACAACTCAAAATAATAAAAATTATTCAATGGAATATTAAGCACTCATTCTTCTATATGAGTCATGAAGATCACATAAGAACCTGAGAAATACTTACAGCTGAAATTAAAAACCAGCTACCAGTGATGTACACGTTATGACTACAACTATGTAGGAAGATGTTTATTAAAAAATACTGGAAGAGAACATTCCAAAATGTAGGTTTTAAATTTTTTCTATTCTCCAAACTTTCTGTAATGTAAACATATTAATTCTCTAAATTAAATCACTAAATAAATAAGAAAGGAACGTTTTTGTGTCAATACATTTCCTATTTATATTGGTGGGTCTTGGTTCTTCCAAACTGGCTGAGATGCCATAGTATCTTCCTGAAAGATAATATGTTTAAAGCAATGAAATATTTAGGATATAAGATGAAAATAACACTTTCTGAAAACAGGAACCCAAGTAAATTGTCACCTTTCAAAAAGAAAAATATTAGTGAAATTACAGTATGTGAGACAACATAATGCCCTTTTTAAGAGTTTTATATTATCTTCTCACAAGTGAGAAACATGATCACTGTGAAAATTTTGAAAATACAGATTAGTATTTACATGTATGCATTTAGGTGCATGAAGAACATGTACCAAAATGTTGACTCTGGATATTGCTGGATTTTGTTTTTGTAGTTTCTAATTTTTCTCCAAAAAGCTAAGAGAAAGAAAAAACAAACCTAAAGAAAATTATAAAATATAGATAAAACAAAAAGAAAAGAAAATCCTCATGTCCTTTCCACCCAGAAATAGTCACTATTTACATTTTATTATCCATCTTTCAAGTATTTTTTCTCATAAAAAAGGGATCACACAGTACATAGTACTTTTTCATAATATATCCCACTAACTTTCCTTGTGAAGAAATGTAACATTTTTAATAGTTACATGACATTTCACTCTATAAATGTACATTTTTTTAGCCAAAACCCCATGATTAAGTACAATGTCTTTAGGATTCTGATCATATAATACATGGTCTTATAAGAGGATATTGTTGTAAATAACCTGATGGAATGCATCTGGCCATCCTTTTTTCTCTAAAGTAAACAGCTGGAGAGTAAAGACTGGTGGTGAGGGAAGCCAAGTAATATACATGTATATTCAAAGAGAAGACTATTCCCTGCCTTATGAGGGTAAACAGGTCAGATAATGATAATCACTATGCACAGTTTTCATCCTTGGGAATACTCCCACACAAGCCAATGATATCCCCTTTCTGCCAAAGCAAGGAAAGCCACATACCTGACGACTTGGGTTGTCGTTCCCCTTCTAATGAGAGCTGTTCTGGTGACTTGATGAGGGATCTAATGCCAGGATTTTGATTAATCATATAAAATGGACAAAGCACACCATCTGTTGAAAGCAACATAAGAACTGGAGCAGGAGGAAGAGTCTTTTCGTCATCTGTAAAAAAAAGTGACAAAAGCAAAGACCCAAGTCAATTTAAGGGTCTGGTCCCAGAAGGGAAAGACTGCCCTGAAAAAGAAGGGGCACTGATGGACTCATCTCAACAGCAGCTCAAGTCAGTTTACTCTGATTCAGATTTGAACAGTCTTTCATGCAACGGCTATTTAAAGAGCAGGACTGCCATTATCCGATCATCACCAGCCTGCACTGCCCTGCACGGAAGTCATTTTAAGCCTGCAGTAGCTCTGACTCTCCCCAAGCTCCCTCAGTTTTTATGAGTGTCTCAGTGTTCAGACATTCTCCTGACCGAGACAGGAGTCTTCAGGCAGTGTCTGGTTTAGTAGAGAAATGATAAGCTAGACTCTTTGGAAAGCACATAGCTGGACACAGAAAGACGGATCAATCTACTTATGTTTATTCATAGCAGAATCATATGCGTGTATTTTGTCTCTGTATTTAAGACTTCAAGAGAACCAGAGTAAATCAGCACCTCTGTCTGAACAGTGCAAACTGCTAGTCAGACCAAATACTCCTGCCTGACCAGGGAAAGGACAAGGAGCTTAACGGTATCTGAGAGAGACACCTCTCTAAACCAGAGCATCAAAAAGCAGATAAAGAGCATTTCTCCTCTCGTATGTTCACATTTCTCCTCTGGTATGTTCACATTTCTCCTGACTGCTGCACTTCGAGGATCCAGCAGTAGAGACACATCCCAGATGCAATGTGGAAGCCACATCCTCAAGGTCTCCATTTTCTAATCCAGGCCTTCAGATCAAGTATTGGCATGCAGCATGTTTCTCTGATTAGGGAATTAGAGAACTCTTTGAAAAATTAAAGGCGGGGGTGAGGTGGGGGAGGCCAAGAACCCTATAGAAATATGAGCAAAAGACACAAACACACACTTCATAAAAAGATTTTTGGCCCTTAACAACATGAAAGGATACTCATCTTCCCTCTTAATAAGAAAATACAAAGAAAAACACTTTGTATTTTACAGAAACACTATTTCTCACTAATTAGATTCAAAAGTAGACAACACATGTCTGGCAAGGCTATGGGGAAACAGACACTACCATATATTGTCAGGAGTGCAAAATGGTACAAGAGGGGTGGTGGGGGAGATGGCAAACTACTTATGCATTACCCCCTTGACCCAGCAACCTCACTTCTAGGAATTTATCCTGTGGCTATACCTACACAATTATGAAAACAAATGCACAGAATGTTATTATTTAGGGATTATTTGTAATAGCAAAAAATATTAAAAACAATCTAAATATTCATGCATAGAAGACTGGTGGAATAAACTATGGTACTTCTACACAACATAGGCCGATGTAGCTCTTAAAAAAGAAAGAGGAAGATCTCTGTGCAGTAGTACGGAGTGATTTTTTTCCCCAAGACATACTGTTTAGTGAAAAAAAAGCAAAGCACAATGGTACATACACAGAATGTCTTGTATAAGAAAGGAGAAAGAAAAGAAATATACATGTCCATGTACATGAATTTGCTTATTTCTGTGGGGAAAAAAAAAAGCAAAGAAGGATAAACCAGAAACTAATTCAAATAATTACCTATGGTGAGGATTAGAGCAGAGCGGAAGAGACAGGAAGGGGAGGAAGACTTCTCTGAGTACACATTCCCAGAGTTTTTTTGACTTTTAACCATGTGTAAACATTTTGTACATTCAGAAAAAGTAAACTGCAAACTAGAATTTTAAAAAAAATCCTATACTAAGTACACATAGAAACAAATGAATCTAAATGTGTATCAAATTGATAACAAACCACATTGGAAAAAAAAAAAAGAACTGATTCAAAAAACTTTTATACACAATAGTCTGACTGTACACCACTAGTCGGATATAATCTAAGCACAGAAAGAACTTCAAGGGAATCCTGACTTCTACTTAGCATGTTTGTTGTTGGTAGTGGTATTCAAAATGATGGTAGCATTTTTTACTTCCTCTTTACTTTCGTTTTTATGTATACCGTGCTTCACTCCACAAAATCAGAGGGTTTATAGTGAGAACACATAAAATAAAGTAGCAATTTTTAACCAGTTAAAAACTCAATTACTGAAACTGAAGACGTAGTACTGAAGGACAAACCATTCCTATAGATAAGCTTTAAATCTGGTTCTCAATTTCTTGGGCATCAAAGTAAAAAGGAAGATAATCGGTTTCATAATTTTTTTCTAGAAAATACCAGTGGTCTCAAGTGAAGCAAAGTTTTTCTAGAACCAAATTTCAAAAGAAATTTCTCACATGGAACTATAAATAAGAAGCTTAGTATGACGGAGGGGATGATTTCCTTGACAACATTTCTACGGCTTATGTAGTGCCAGATATCATACACGTGTTCTGGTTCTTCTGATATCCTTGAACCAGGGCCAAACACTGAAATGCAACTCAATGAAGCAGCTTCAATTAAAAAAAAAAAAAAACTTTTCAAATTTACTTCACTAAGAATGTATTGCTTCACAGTAATAGGGGAGAAAACCTTATCTGACGGATGGTGTCATGGATTAAATTGTGTCCCCCAAAAAATGTATGTATCAATTTGGCTAGGCCATGATTCCCAGCGTTGTGTGGTTGTCCTCTATTTTGTGATCGTAATTTTATGTTAAAGAGGATTAGGGTGGGATTGTAACACTATCCTTACCCAGGTCACATCTCCGATCCAGTGTAAAGGGAGTTTCCCTAGGGTGTGGCCTGCACCACCTTTTATCTCAAGAGATAAAAGGAAAGGGAAGCAAGCAGAAAGTTGGGAACCTCATACCACCAAGAAAGCAGTGCCTGGAGCAGAGTGCGTCCTTTGGACCTGACGTTCCTATGCAGAGAAGCTCCCAGACCAAGGGAAGATTGATGACAGGGACCTTCCTCCAGAGCCAACAGAGAAAGTGTGCCCCTGGAGCTGACGCCCTGAATTTGGACTTGTAGCCTACAGGACTGTGAGAGAATACACTTCTCTTTGTTAGAACCATTCACTTGTGGTATTTCTGTTACAGCAACACTAGATGACTAAGACAGATGGATAGAGGGATATAACAAAGCAAGTAGAGTAAAATATTAATGGTAGTGAGTATATGAACATATGGGTGTTTCTTCAACTTTTCTGTATGTTTGAAATTTTCATAAAATACTGAGGATGACGGACTCAACTGAATCTTTAGAGGCCAAAAGATTTCTGCTTTTAGATCAATGATTCTCAGTTCCAGGATGGGAAGGCATGTGTGGTTTAATAGTCCCGGCTCCAAGTTTCAGGTATATCCTTCCTTTATCTAAAACATGTTCTATATTTCAACTATATTCTAAAGCACACACATCCAGAGACAGAGAGAGAAAGAAATACAGATGGAGTGTGTTTGGCCTTGGTCTCATCAATAAGTAACCATCCAAATTAGTTTTAGTGTTATCATAATGCACTCTATCATTCTTCAACTACAAATAGGATACTAGAAGTTACAAGTGCCCAGCTACTAGAATAGACTCTGTCATGAACATATATAAATAGCGTTTAAATATCAACCAATATAAGAAAGTAGCATATTTCTGCACTAAACATCAGGCCACCCACACTTACTGATGGTGATTTCCATTTGGTTAGTATAATCTATGGCAACTCCCATGGGCAAGGAGTCATCATTCTTGTCTGTCACAGGCAGTTCGGCTCGACTAGAATCCTCCAGGAGCCAAGATTCCCAGTTAATCTGGAAAAAAAAAAAAAAAAAAAGGAAAATGCCATCTTGTTTAGGTTTGCATTGGTTCCTCTGAGCATCATTCCAACAGAAGAGAAGAAAAAAGAAGACTAACTTGGTTTAGATTTATGTATTGACTGTGAGGCTCTGAAATCTGGGAAGATGGTCTAAAAGCCATGCGTACTCCAGCAAGCAAAAGAGTAATTTTCCAAATCAATCTCTCTGTTCCTGGTGTACCAAGTCCCTGCCTTGTGAATAAACAATCATGATCGTGAACATTTACTGAGATATCCCCCACCACAACTGGGGTAGATTCCTGACATGGGGCACAAATCCAACAGCTGCACTAAGCCAGTCAATACTTGCTCCTAGAAATTTGGAACTGGGACCAGGAGCTCCACTGATCTCTGCTGGGGTTGTGAACAGAGAAGCCTATAAAGCTGGGCGAGACGCCCTGTGCTTGTTCATCCAGAGACAGCAGGTAACCCTAGTTCTTGTCTTTTCAGTTCCTGGTGACAGTTTCTCAGCCTGGTCAGACTTCCTATCCCAGGATTCCTTGAGAAATCCAGTAAGTTCCCCTTTTGCTTATACTTGTTTGAGTGGTTCTGTTTCCTTCCAACAAAGGATTCCCAACTTAAAAAATCACTAACATTTTGTCTAACTTTCAGCGATGATCAAAACTGGGCAGCATATATCAAAGGGGAATAGCCCTCAGTAAGTAACAAAGACAGAAAAACAAAAAGTGGTTTAGGAAAGGGAACATAACCATACTACTCGACTTAGCTACTGAGTGAGTATTATTCATATATTCATAATAATGTAAACAAAACTGATGTCAACTTTCAAAAACAATCTACAGACAAAACAAAGGTCTATAATTAATAATCAATAACTAGTAATAAAGTATATTATTATTTAGAAACAAGGAGGTAATCATTAAAATAAAAAGTTTACAAGTTAAAAATGGTCCCCTCTAGAGAACAGGACAGGGTGGAGCAGGGGACAGTGATTCATTTCATTTATAAGCCCTTCTGCACAATTTGATTTTTTAAGCATGTACATAAACGATTTTGATAAACAGTAAAAACAACCAGTCTCCACCAGACTGAGTCCAGTACAACTAGATGGTACCTGGCTACAACCACTGACTGCTCTGAAAGGGATCACAACAGAGGGTCCCAGACAGAGCGACAGAGCTGGAGAAACATGTAGAACAAAATTCTAACTCACCAAAAAAAAAAAAAAAAAAAGACCAGATTTACTGGCCCGACAGAGACTGGAGAAATCCTGACAGTATGGCCCCCGGACATCCTTTTAGTTCAGTAATGAAGTCACTCCCGAGGTTCAATGTTCAGCCAAAGATTAGACAGCCCCAAAAAACAAAACAAAACTAAGGGGGCACAACAGTCCAGGGACAAGGACTAGAAGGCAGGAGGGGACAGGAAAGCTGGTAATAGGGAACCCAAGATCGAGAAGGGACAGTGTTGACATCTCGTGGAGTTGTCAACCATTGTCATAAAACAATACGTGTATTAACTGTTTAATGAGAAACTATTTGTTCTGTAAACCTTCATCTAAAGCACACACACAAAAAAAAAAGTAAAAATAAATTTTTTAAGCATGGATACATAAAATATTTGTGCTATTAAAAAATTGCTACTGAAGTCAGTCCAAGATAGGTACTTCTGGAGCAGCAAATTAGAATGCTGAATTCTGCCCTATGACTTAAAAGAAGCCCACTCTGAACACATGAAAGCCACACCATTTACAACAGGCCAACTTGCCTTCTGGAGAATGATAGATAAATGCTGAATGGTTGAAGAAGAACAGGTATTTGTGTACCAGGTGACGTACTTATTTCTTCTTAACAAGGGTGTACAAAACATTTTGAAACTCAAACTGAAGTTTTAAACAGAAAAGCTTTCCTTTCATCTCGTCTCCTCTGTAGTAACTCTGTACAATCTACAAGTGAATGGCTGACCATCACTACCTCAGTCCACTGCCTCACTGCAAGGAGGACTAAGTGAAAGAAGGAAGAGAGGGAGATGCTTATGTGCACAGGGACTCTTTCTGATTTTTTTTCAAACTCAAGCAAATTATTTCTGAGGAGTCACAATTTGCTATTATCCGCATGTCTTCCACAATCAAGGGATGATTATAGCTTCTTGTATAAAAAGGACCAAAAAAAACCCCAAACCCGTTGCCGTTGAGTCAATTCCAACTCATAGTGACCCTATAGGACAGAGTAGAACTGCCCCATAGAGTTTCCAAGGAGCGCCTGGTGGATTCTAACTGCCGACCTTTTGGTTAGCAGATGTAGCTCTTAACCACTACACCACCATGGTTTCCATAAAAGGGACAGGGTCACGTAATAGGAAGAAAATAAAGATGATAAAACAGAACAAGGCAGACAAAGCCTCCTACACATCAAGGTATACTCCTGTTGGAGGTTGATTACATAGTTTGCTTCCCTGTGGGGCTAGATCCTCAAAGAACAGAAGGGCTTTTTACAACACTGAAGGAACTGCTAAATCTGACACCCATGTATGTCCAATACCATAACCAAGCCATCTGATCAAGGCACTTTGTCATTTACGCTTTGTGCTCATCCAGAAACTCATTAATAGGGATGTGAACCTCATCTAAATCTCAACCACATAGTTAATTCCCTCCAAAATCTTTCTCTGAAATATATCACAAAAAAGTGACAAAAAAGAGAAATTTACCTGATCACTTTGTCGAGCAAGGATACTAACTTCTGTGGAAGCCGCAGATGCTGCCAGCACTAAATCCCTTTAAAGAATAAAACCAGACGACCATTAAATTCAAATACAGCAACAACTCTACCTTGATTTGAGGCTGTGGAACACCTATGAGGATATCCTCCAGATGTTAAGGAAGGGGTGAGGTTTCCTATACAGTTGAAGAAAGGCGGGAAAACTTCAGATGTAAAGTCTAACTTTTTAAGCTTTTATATGATAAAGCACTGGAGAAATCAGCCAACCCTATCCACTTGAAGATAAGGTAAAGACACTACAGAACCAAGCTGAAATTCATAGAAAATACACCACCCCATAAGCAGAATAATCTAGCTATAGAAACAAGATCTTTGCTTCAAGTACTCTATCTTTCATATTTGCTCTCAGAGGGAAACTTAGTCCGTTCATTGTTGTTGCTGTTAGTTGCCGTTGAGTCGGACCCCAGCTCATGGCAACCCTATGCATAACCAGATTGAACCATTGTGATCCACAGGGTTTTCACTGGCTGATTTTCAAACATAGATCATCAGGCCTTTCTTCCTAGTTTGTCCTAGTCTAGAAGCTCCACTGAAATCTGTTCAGCATCACAGCAACATGCAAGCCTCCACTGACAGAAGAGTGATGGCTGCACCTGGGGTGCAATGGCCAGGAACTGAACCTGGGTCTCTCGCATGGAAGGTGAAAATTCTACTACTGACCCACCACTGTCCTCAATCTCTTCCTTAAATATCGGTTTTTTAAGTAGTCACTGGGGTTACTTAGAAGATAGAATTTTTAAGATTAGTACCTATTCAATCTAAATAATTCAAGACAGAGGAAGTAGAAAAGCATTATCTAGTATCAGCTAGAAATATTTTCCGGGCATCCAAAGCCTCTACTTTCCTCTCTGACAGAAAAAAATTCAAAGTGCAAAAAAGTGACTCAGCGAGAGCAGGAACCCATTTCTTGGATTCTATACCCACCATTCCTCAACGTAACTGAGGAAGTAATGATGCTGTCTCTCTGTGCAGCTGCCGTAGCAGGGCTCCATGAAGTTCACAAATATCTCTGGGTGCTTGTCTTCCTTTTTCTACAAACAATGAACAGGGTGAGAAAAAAATCTTATGTGATTTTTCTTCAGTCCAACACAATTAAGAATTTCAAAAGATAAAACCATTTTAGCTTTATGAGAAAATTCACTCAAAATCTATGTCCAAAAATACAGACATGATACTCAGACGGCACTGAGTAGTACAAAGAATGTGAACATTGGCCATCAACTGAGATGCACTGAAACCCTGTTCTGCCACTTACAGGTCATGGGACAAAAAAGGACAAATTATTCAACCTTACTGATACTCAGTTTCCTTATGTGTATAATGGCCCTACTAAATCTACTTCAGAGGTTGCTGCAAGTATGAAATGAAATGACACACATAAAGCTTCTAGCCAAGTACTTGGAGCATAAGAAGTAGTTAATAAATGCTAATGTTACTATTATCCTTAGGAATAACAAAATCCTAATGATATCTTGAAATAAGGCATCTTAATAAACACATTTTAAAAATCCAACCTTATAAAGAACTGAAAGAAGTTAATTTAAAAAAGGCACCTTTTTCACACATTTGATTGGCAAGGGAGAGGTGCTAGGAAACTGGTAGTCCCACTGGTAGTTATAAACTGGGAATATAAACTGGTATGACTTTTCTAAAAGATACTTTGGCAATGTTTTTCAAAGCCTATCCAAAAAAACATATATTTCTTGACCTAAACATTTTATTTCTAGGTATTTATCCTAAAAAATAAACATAATTAGACAAAATGTACATAAAAGAATGCATCAAAGCATTCTTTAAAAGTAGGGAAAAACTGAAAACCACCTGAATATCCAACAGTAAAGGAAATGCTAAAAGTAAATTGATATTTACCCAAATGATCAAATACAGATTTAGTGACATACAAAAGATGTTTGCAATTTTACTGTTAAGCAAAACAAAGCTGCAAAACAGAATGACCAGTACAACTTCTACTTATATAAGCTCTGTCTCATTTGTTTTAAATGCCCTTGCAATTTAATACTACTCTGTAGATCTTATTACCAGCGTTTTTCTCCCTGTCTCAAAAAGACTCATTCCCTCACTTTATTCTGGTTTCTGCTCAAATGGTGTCTCCTCAAGAGGCCTTGCTGCACCACCTAACCTAAAAGGGCATCCCAGTAATCATCTCTCCCCTACACTGCATTATTGTCTCCATCAAACTTGTCCTTCTTTGATCCTATATTTATTTACTGACTACCATATTCACTAGAATGTAAGATCAACACAAAAGAAAGAACTCTGCCTTGGTTACCATATATTCTCAGCTTCAGAACAATGTGTAGCATGCTGAAGGCATTCAATAAATATCTGATGAATAAATAAATGAAAAAATTTAAAAATCAAGATATTTTCTTGCTTTTTAAAAATTTCCTGATTAGGTGAACATCTCTAAGACTCATAGTTTACAGCTTAAGCAACAGCAAGTTTTACAATTTTTTCACCTTGTAACTAAATAGTAGAACATGATGTAAGTGGACATCATAATTTTGGTCCCCAGGTCCATCCTGCAGCCCTGAAACCTTACACTTGAAGTTGTACCACCATTGCCAGTAAGTAAAGGAAGCTGAAACCTAAGCCTCAAACTTCATTAGAAGACTTGTATGATTATCAAAGAACAAAGATGTTCTTTTAATATACATACAGGTAGTAGAGCCATCACCACATCTGGAGAAGTTTCCAAGGTACCATCTGCAGCTGCATATACTATCGTGAAGACATATGTACCGATCCATAGCACATCCAGAACTGAAAGACACACACCCTAATAAGTAGGTAGTAAAAATCACAGCAACTAGATGCAGCAAAAAGCATCTATATTTGGAATAGGCACTGAATATAATAAAATTAACATTCTATGGATTAAAAAGTCAAAGTGTTATAGCTTTAACAAAGGTCGAGATTTCACTGACTAAATATAATTCAGATTATATTTATATTATATTCTTGAGTCACAAAGACTCAAGAAGCCCAAATTCATTCCAAAGTGGTATTATAATCAGGGCAAATTATGAAGAATCCTAATAAAAATAGGGATTCATTTCATGTCATTTACCACGAGATACAGGTATCTACCATAGAATTATCATCAAGCTGATTTAATTAGCTAGTTGAAATTATAAAGGAAGCATCAACACTGTCCTGAGCAGGTATGCAGCTATGTCACATGATCTGAAATTTCTATAATATACACCTAGTCAGATTATACAGATAGTACCTCATTAGAAATCAGTCCAGTAAGAAAAACAGATGTGTTACCTCTGACTGGATGATCTGACTCATAAAATGGAGGACAAGGAATGACTTTTTTTTCCTGCAAAGTCTGAAAGAGATTTGGGGGGAAAAAAGTGTGACATGAAACAATCCCTAAACCAAAGAAACTGTCAAATACTATACATTGTCCTGTTTCACCTCCCTAGCCGGGAGAGACTGAACAAAGAGAAAGAATGGATGTCCACTTTTAGAACACTAACCTATAGAAATACTCACATGAACGTGTTCATATGTAGGGGATGACAATGTTAAATGCAACACTGTTTATAGTAGCAAAATCACTGATACTGATGTAGATGGTAATCGACAATGGAATAAATAAATGATGGTACACCCACCTAATGGGCCACTACACAGCCTTTAAAAAGAATGAAGTGGCTGTGTATGTACTGACTTGAAAAACAAACCCCAATATACTGTTGTATGTTAAATAAAAAAAAAAAGAACTGCAAACTAATATATCAAACCAATTACATTACCTTTTTACAGGATAATACCCTGAACGACTATATACCAGATTTTACATAACAACTTTTAGCAATAACAAATAAGGCACAAAAACCTTAACTCCAAATCCACACCACCATGTTTATTTCACACACCACTCAAGGAATAGTATCTCAAGGAGGAATACACAATAGTACAAGCCTTGGCATTGCCTAGTGAACCCCTTTCGTGTTCAGACTTGAACGCACATATTTAGATTCTTTGTGAGACAATTTATAAGGAAGAATATTTGTGAATATCATCTTAAGAAAATCACAGGGAGAAGATGACAGAGTGTATATGCAACAACGGGAGTATCCATTTTCTTTGGTGTCTATAGTTACAGAAACCGACACTTCAGAATGGACTTTGTTAGAGGGAAAAATAATACCTACTGTGCTTTTTACCCAGAGTGATTTTGCATTGTGGTAGGTAATACTAGCTTTTTCACTAACTCCTTTTCCCCTCGAGCCCTGTTTTATGGAATGCATTAAAGATGTAAGTTTGGGATCAATGCATACAGTATGATCACATTTTTATTTAACAAAACAAAACAAAAAATGTGTATTTAACACATAGACTATTTTTATAAGCATCCAGAAAAGTCTGGAAGGTTACTCACTAAACAGAACATAGTGGATGCCTCTAGGAGGATTGGATAGGAGGGAAGGTGAATTTGTTACAATGAGGATAAAACACTTTTTAATGGAAAAAACAACAAAGATACCACCAAACCACACCAAAAACAGTGGGTAACTTAAGTAATAAGAGTTCTTAAGTCTAAGGCAAGAACTTACGGGAAGATACTGGACCACAGTTCCATTCTGTTTTCCCACTGCCAGCTGCTTTCCTTTGGGGCTCCAGCACACTAAGCAAAGAGAATAATGCTACCAATTAAAAACGGAAGAAAATAGAGCAAACCAATGAGATCTGTCACAAAACAGGTATGTAGTCACCACTTTTGTTCCTTCTGTCAGTTCACAGAAGCTTGCAGGATCATCCCTACTCAGCAAAGTGAAAAAGAGTAAAATCATCTTAATAATGCAAGCTAATCATGATTTATCACTGGGCCATTCAATTGAGAGCTGAAAATACTATTTCAATGGAGTACTAACCAGAAAGCTGGAAAGTACAGAAAGCAGTGTAGTCTTTAGACAAGACAAGGAGAATAAAGTCTTCAAACACTAAGAATTCATTTTACTGTTCCTATTTGTATTTCTAATGCCTTTCCCCTGAAGGTACAAACGACTTCCAGAACATGACCCTTTTAGATCCAGAAACAATTATTCTCAAAAATACAATTCTAAACTAGCTGTACCAAAATAGTCCTTTCCCCAGAAAACCTAAGCAAACTCAGGTAAATCATGTATGCTATCTGGCTTCAAGGACATTAACTACAGAAATGAAAAATACTCTCTTCATTTTTATGTCCCCCCCCAAAAAAGTCCACATTTCCAGAAATTACTTTTTAAATAGATCACCATTACTATATGTTATAGAGTGAAAGCCTTTATCACCCACCAGATGTTACTGCTACCGTGGAAGGAAGAGTTGCACACACTTTCACCGTTTCTGTAACTTGTAGGACAGCTATACTGCCATCGGCCAGACAAACTGCCACCATGGAGGCAACAGTGGGGTTCCACTTCATATCAATCACCATGCCTCCTGCATCTTTTAAAAGCTTATGATAGGCAAATGGGCGTTTCTGCTGTTTAGCCTTTTAAAACAAAGTAATTATTAACATAAATTTATTATAACATTAATTTATTAACATAAATTAATAAATAAATACACAGAGATACTAAATGTTCACAGGAAATTGTTGAATATGCAAGTTTTCTCCTAGTTCACATTTCTCCACAACTATGAAAAAGATTTAGCTCTACACAAAAATCTATTGTTTCAGAAAATTTCAATATAACTTTGAAAATGGCAATTATTTTAGCACACTCAGGAAAGACTCCCAAGAGGAGAATATACAAATTCAAAACAACCAACAAAGAGCAGACACTAGATTAAAATCGTGGCTCTGCTCCTTAATAGTGTTGGGACCTAGGCAGTGACTTAAACTCTTTGAGCCTGTTTCTTCATTTATAAGATGAAGGTAATAGTACCAATCTGTAAGGCTGTGGTAGGCATAAATGACGATAAGGTATACAAAGCACTTAGTACAGAGACTGGCACACAGTATAAACATTCGATATTATTATTATTAAACTGCTTAAAATGGAAAACCACTACATTAGAAGGCCAGAAACCTAGAATACAGAAACTTTGTCATTACCTATTAACTCTATGACTTTGGGCAAGTTACCTAAGCATCCCTGGGCTTTGGTTGTCTCATGTGTAAATGAGATATGATAGTACTCTGTTATGAAATAATCTCTTAGAGTCCCTTTACACTCAAAGAGCTATGCTTCTATAACTCTCAGGATTTTTTTTTTAACCCATATTTTAATCTAGAAAAAGACTTCAAAGGTCAACCAAAGAAGCTTCCAAGTTATGATTCAATACCAGGAAATCTCCTTAAGTTCCCACGTTGACACTAGAGTTTTCTAGTAGCTTACCTCGTTTGAGAAGGTGCGAACATCAAAAAAAGCAATAATGGAGCCATATTCACTGGACATCATGCACACGGAGAGTGTGAGGTTATCACAGCTCAGTGCCAGGTGATGTATAGGGAATTTCATAGGCACTAGCAAGCTTTGGACTTTATCAACTATGAAAACATAGACAAAGCAGAAAATGACATGCTGTAAACACTGAGTCACAATCTCTTTATCCAGGTCTATATGAAATAATTTTTGCATCTACAGAAACACACACACACACACACCTAATTATGCATATAAATTCTAACTTTCTTATAGGTGTATAATGATACATTAAATATCCCAGGGACTCTTTTTCATACAACCTAGGGAAACTAACTGGCTGTTGCCCTTGCTAACTACAGTATTGGCCTGTGGTCCTATTTTTGCAACAATGCTCCAAATACTACACACTGCCATTTGTTTGGATGGTAATGTCATGTCAACTAAAAAGCCATGTGACTAAACCCTTTTCTTGAAATCCAGGACACAAGGTCAACTAAGCAAAAATAAAAGTATGGCATGGAAAGTTCTTCCTTCCTCTGAGCTTGGAGAAACAACTCATCAAAAGAGAAATACAAAGGACCAAAGAGAACACCTAGAAAAGTTTCTAGCATCCTACCTGGAATTTACTCTTCCTAGGGGGAGGGGGATCAAACTTAGGAGTAGTAGTTTTAATTTTAATATTAAAATGACTGCTTGAGAAGGAAACAACATTAGCACTTCACCACACTCCTCTCTTTAATATACAACATAAGTCAAGTAACTTACCAATTTTATTGGGATCGTCCCCAGGTTTATTTTGAATTAGAAGACTTTTAGTAGGAAAAATATGCAATCCACTGGCTCCACCAGCAAAGACCAGACCATACTTGTTGGACACAGCAAGCAAACTTGAGCGTTCCTTGGGCAACTTCTCAGGGGACTCAAAGATTCTCACCTTTTTCAGTGCTCTAAACTGAAAATCCTATTGTGAAGGATTGGGGAAAAAAAAAAAAAAATCAGGGCTAACAGAAAATTAAATCATGTCTGTCATTATATTCCAAGAGACCCAATTCCAATGCAACAAAAATATATAATTCCCGGAGGCCAAGGAGAGTGTGTCTCAGTAGTCTTTAAATTCTTGTGATTATTATCATGGTGCCTGGCATATTGTGCTTATTAATATTTGTTGAATGAAACAAATGAGGAAAAACATTCATGAAGTCTTCCTTGACTAATCCAGCTCACACTGATCTCTTCTTTTTCTGAATTCCTACAGTATTTATTCTCTGAATTACCATAAATTGTATTTTATTATTTATAATCTTAACCTATTTCATGTTAAATACGTATTGTCTCAGACCCAGAGTAGAGCTTAATAGTTGTTAAATATTGAAAATATCACCCAACTACTGTGAACTCTAACTTCCAGTGCAGTACTCAACAAATATATATTGAAATAATGACAACAGAAGATGACCAAAGCCCAAGAATCGGCTTACTTGTATCAAACGCCAAACAAAATTCTATCACAGAAATGGAAATCGATGATCTCTTGGAGTTCAAGGCCCTTAAGCAAAACCTAGATGCTATGAGAACATTTAAAACACAAAACCAAAATCCATAACACACTCTATAAGGTCAAGCATGGCTTGATCCCTCTACCTCTGCAGTCTCATCTCTGCTGCCCTCCAAAAAATGCACTATTGCCACTGCTACAGCTCCCCCCTCCACCCCATTTCCAATTTCCATGCTCTTTAGTACCTTAAGGCCTTTAGACATAAACAATTGGCCTGGGAGCCTCCCCTGATCTCCTGACAATGCCTGACCCACCTGTCTTCCATGAATTTACCTATGTTTTCAATTAAGAGTTCCATAAGTTTATCAATCACTATGTTAAGCTGCACTGTATATATATATATATATACACACACACACACACACACACACACATATACATATATTTTTAATGAAATTCTAAACCTATCTTTAAGTCAAGGTCTCAGTAAACCTACTTTATGCTTATAATCCAAAATTGTAAAAAAACAAAGACAGCCTTTCTCAGCCTTCATTTTTTTCACACTAGATTCTTTTAGAGTTTCAAACAGGATCCCCACCACACCCTATAGGAGGGATCAGTCCCTGGAGAAGGACATCATGCTGGGTAAAGTAGAGGGTCAGCAAAAAAGAGGAAGACTCTCAACAAGATGGAATGAGATAGCAAGTAAAACAATGGGCTCAAGTATAACAATCATGAGGATGGCCCAGGACCGGACAATGTTTCATTCTGCTGTACACAGGGTTGCTATGAGTAGGAACTGACTCAACAGCCCCTAACAACAACAACACATCCCACATGCTAATTTCCTTGGGTTAGATGTTTAATACATATTTGTTGCAAGATTAACTGAAATACTCTTCTCTAATTCCAACTGGGAGACCTGGTGGCGCAGTGGTTAAGAGCTCAGCTGCTAACCAAAAGGTCGGCAGTTCATATCCACCAGCCACTCCTTGGAAACCCTGAAATTCACATAGCTTTTCCGATGAGACTACACTATAGTTTCACACAGGAGTAGAATAAAAATTTAGTGTTTCTAATTCTTATCCTGACAATCCTAAATTTTCTATTTGGGTCTTAATCACATGGGTACAGTGGGCCAGGGGGATGAAGAAGCACAGAAGAACTCTCCTTTCTGTTACAATCAGTAACTCAAAGGGAGACTATCATCTTCTAAGTCTGTGGTCCTAAAACCTTTCTTTTCTTCTGCCCCAGCATATCTGAGGAACATGACACATTCCCGTTGGGTGGCTCACCACGGCAGTGACTCTCAAGAAGAAAAAGTAAGAATCATTTATTCTAAATGTGGAATGGATTACTATCCCCTAAATGCATTCCAGCTATTTGTTGTTCACACAAATGCCTGAAATCTTCCTGCAACTTATTCCCTCTCAGACGTTTGCTGCTTAAAAGAAATGTAGCTTGTTCTCTGTAGCTTCATTCTGTCAGAACATTCATAAAAAATGTCAAACACAACCATCCTAGGGACCAATCCCTGCAGTCTCAAACTCTACCATCATTTGGACCACTTTTCCTCCCCTTAGTTTCTTGACTTTAAGCTGATTTCCTGCGCCAAAATAGTCGTTTTATGCCAGTTAACTAAAAGATTTGTAAAATGCAAGATCTTCGGCCCTACGTTAGGCAAGCCTGGCTCACCCTACAGAAGTAGTACAGTGACAGTGAAGAAGAGAGGGTCTTAAATAAACCTAGACTTCAGCCTCCTTGTCAAACGTGACTGGATAAGTTGCTTTCCGAGTCTCGATTTGCTGCTCTGTAAAACAAGGACACTAACAACTACTTCACAGGGTTGCGGTGATGATTCAGGGAGACGCTGCTTACCACAGTGCCTGGTACAGTAAACGCTCAATAAATAGTTATTACCAGTACTCAGACTACCACATGTAAGTAGCTAGAATAACTCAAGAGGAGTGCACAAGACCAACAAGGGCCAGGGAAAGTCATTCTGTGGGGCTACCACGCAGGCAGCACGGCAGAGTGCTCCAAGACAACGCTGGTGAGAACTCTGAACGCGGTAAACTGTTCAAGCCGAAGGCGGGGCTCCAAGGCAACGCCAAGACTAAGGGAGGAAGGGAGACCCTGGCCAGTATCTGACCTTCATTTCCCGCTCAGGGATCATCGCATCCATCTCGTCTCCCATCGCGCCGCACAAAGGTTGTTGAAACAGCCGCGGACGCCGGCTCGGCCTAGAAAAGAGGCCGCTCCAAGGCCAACTTCCTTCCCTCAGTGATAATAGAGCGCAGTGAAACTCGCATTTCCGGCGCGCCTTGATGACGCGACGCGTCCCGGTCCGCTAAGTGATCGAGGGAAACTAGGGGTCGACCTGAAGCCTCGCGCTCCCCTGGCTGCCACCTCCCATTGGCCGACTCTGTCTCAGTAGGGGGCGTGGCCCCGGGCCCGCGTGTCGCGGCCTGGAGCGTCCGGACACCGCCCCCACGCCTGAGGGCTCGCTTCGGTTGGGCGTCTTTTGTTCGGCGTCTCACGCGTGAGCGCTCCACGCTCATTGTTCTGTTGAACCCTCACAGTAACCCTTGGATGTAGGTGGTTATTGTTCCTGATGCGGAGATGTCAAGGACTTGACAAATATTTCCAGGGGCAGCTCTTGAGAGAGGCTTTGGTGGGGGGGAGGGAAAGGGAAGAAAGATTCAGGAAATGGGTGGGTGGGACCTTGCCACAGAAAGGAGAGGTTAAAGGGCACCCAACACAAGCTTTGTTTACTCCTTTCAAGAGCCATATCCACCTCCGGTAACAAAAGAATTTGTGGCGAGGTCTGTGCAAAACCCTTTAGATATGCTATCATATTTAATCTTCAAGACATCCTAGCCACCTAGGGGTTATTACTGCCATTTAATTGATGAGACAACTGAAGCATAGAGATGTTAAGAAAATCCCCCCGGTGCCCCTCAGCCAGAAAGTGTTGGAGGCGGGATTAGAATTCATGTTGTCTGGATATGATGACATCACACAGCCCTATTGTAGAAGAGATTTTTGTAGTGGAATTATAAATGCTGTAGGACAACTCTTAAACCGCAAGGGTCGGCTCCAGGGGAGCGTATTCTGCCACTTAAACTATTAGGTTTGCAGCAAATTGCTTATCTGCTCCAAGCCTGCTTTTCATTTGTAAAAGGATGACAAGGACAGAACCTATCTCATGGGGGTTGTTGCGAGGGTTAAATATGTCTGGCACATTCATTCAATCTGTTATTACCTAGCTTTTCTGAATTTGCTGAGAACCATCTTAAAAATAAACTGATCGAGACATTGATAAGTTTGTCTGGTTTATTTCCAATCAGCAGAGATGATAACCCACACCACACATACTTACATGCACACGCACACACATACTTCATCCACCTGAATTTGCCTGACAAACTCCTTCCTTTTGAGTTATAGGGACAAAGCCATAATTGGCAGTCCCCAAGCTGCTGGTTACATTACAGATAGATTTGGTCTTTCAGAAATAAGACAGCTGAAGTGCCAAGAAGCTGAGCCCTAAGCCAGAGAAGTAAGCGTCCTGGAGCCAATAGCCACAACCTGAAATACGTGGAGGCCCCCTTTCCGAGGAGCATTCTTGAGACCCTTTCCACCAAGGGTTGAGTTCTAAGAAGCGGTGAAGTAACTGATGGGGCTTCCCAAGGTACCCTTCATCCAATGAGAGAGGCTTTTTTCCCCACCCTTTCCAGAAGCTGGAAACACTGGCTTGCTTTCCCTCATTAAGAAGGCTTCCTGCGATGTTTTAAGCTGTGGAACTCACTGAAATAAACCTGGTTGGTTCTGTCTTTCTGAGTGAGGAACAGGTACACTGAATATGATGGGTAATCAGGTAGGCTTTACCTTGCTCAAAGGTCCCAGCCTGCCCAAAGAGGAGAGGCAGTGAGAAGGCTTGGGGTCAGGCAGCTGCTCATCTATTGATCACGGCGAGGGGAAGAAAAAGGTAGAGGAGAGAGGAGTGGGGTTTTACATTTACAGGGAGGAATGTTTTACTGGGGTTTAAATTTCAACCAGGCCTGTACATTTGAAGCAGCTTCTTAGGCTGAAGATCAGTCATGTCCAAATAGTCTTGCTCCTGAACTGGTTGAGACCAGTGGACTAACCTAACCTGGCAGTTTCCCCACCTCCTTTCTGCCTTACCTTCTCAAGCTGCTGTAGGGGCAGCACCTTGGGCCCTTGATTATGGGTCACTAAGGAGCCACAGGGAGCCCACACTGGCTCTAACAGCTCCCAGACCTTTCTATTTTAGGTTTTGCAAAGGCTTCTCCAAGATTCTTGCCCAGTCTTAGGCCCAACTCATTCCCCCAGGATTGCAAGGCAGTTACCCCTCTAGCCCTCCCCACCTTCCTAACATTCATCTCACATGTGATTATCTGGGTCTGAGTTCCCCACTAGACTCACAATTCCATAAGTCTGTCCTATTTTACTGCTGGATTGTTAGGTCTTCGCTTGTAGCAGGTGCTTAATAAATATGTTCAATGAATAAGTGCATCCAAGTCCTGCATGGGGAGAGGTAAGGGACTCCAGAACACAGGGGGCATTTTCAAGACTTAGACCCTCTGCTCAGCCAAGAAGGGACCAAGTTTGACATCTTCCTGCAAGAGTTCTGAGAATGAGGCAACAGAACTGTAGAGGCAGCCCTGGGCCTTACACAGACCCTGATGCTGAGTTGGAGGTGCTGGGGAGTTAGCCCTGGCCCAGGGCCTTCCAAGTGAGGAGAGTCTTACCCAAATGTTGACCCAGGAAACTGCCTTTCCCCAACTCTTCCCTGTTTTCACAACTGACTGAGGCAGCCCAGAGCAGAGATGAGGTGTGGGCAGGGGATTAGAAGACCTGAGCTCTGGTCCAGACCCTTCCATCTCCAAATTAAGCCCCTAACCTTGGGCAAGGCACTTAATCCTTGTGGGCCAACCATGGTTTTCTCACCTGTGATGTCGGAAGACTGCCCAGCTAAACTGCAGGGTGGATCAGGACTCTTAAATCCTGTGAGTCTATAATAAAGGACACAGGTATCCCCAATCCAATTCCAAAACTCAAGGCTTTGGGTGATTTGGAAAAGGAGAGATAATTCAGATAGACAGTGGACACAGTGCATGTTAGGATAAAGGGGAAGGACTTAAAGCTTGTAACAGGTGGTCAATAAATATCTGTTGAATGAATGAGTGAATGGTGAGTAGGATGGGAAGACAAATGGGAGAAGAGTAGTCAGGTTTCAAGCAGATTGGGATCAGAAAGGTAGCTCTTGGTTTAATAGTGGGGCTGACTCTTGGTGCCGCGAACACCTTATTCCTGATTCTCCTGTCCTTTTGCCCTCAGCGTCTGTCCCCCGGTCCCTGGCCTCACCTCTGCCTCCAAAGCGCTTTCTTGCTCCAGCAAGGGCCTGTGGGGCTGCACCCGCCCTCCAAGCTCCCTGTAAAAGTGTGGTCACTGCTGGGGGCATGGCCAGAGAGTTCCTTCTGGTACCTTCTCCAAGGGCTCAAATTGCCAAACTCCTCTCTTCCCCTCCTCCAGTTGCCTCCTTGAGGCCCCTCATTGAGGATAAGAGGCATGGACTGAGTGGAGAGCAGCTGGGGTGGTAGGGCATGGTGTGGCCAGCAGAAGCCAGGCTAAGCCAAGAACACCAGAAACACAGAGCTGCCAGAGGAAGTGCTCACGAGGCCTTGCAGCCTTGTCCCAACTCCAGAGCCTTCTGAAAATGGGCTGGGTCCTCACCAGGGCCAGGCCAATGAGCCCGAGCTCAGAAACCTCCTGGTAGGTGCCAGCTCCAAGGATGGGGAACGAAGGCTCCCGGCCTCCCTTCCCTGGCTCTGGCCCTCCCACTGTCCCTGCGGTTTTTGGTTTGATGTCAGCCCTTTTGCAGAGGGAGGACAGAAGTGTAGAAGAAGAGAAGGAGGGGACAGAAGGCTCAGGATTCCACGATCCAGAGCCCCTTTAAGGCAAGTAATTTGTGCTTTACAAAAAGATCACTGATTCTGTCCAATGAAACAAACAAACAACCCCACAATGACCAAACAAACAAGACAAATCACAATGAGTCAAGAAGGCCAGGGAGATCTGGAGAGAGGAACAGGGGTGTGGAGGCTGGGAAGGACAGGGGCAGGTCCAGGCAAGGTCCTCAGGGCAGGCTGGCAATGTCTCTCTCTGGAGGGGGGCCAACTGGCTTGGGACTGTTCTCGTTGGCTTTTCCTTCAAACATCATGACTCTGGTTTGGAAGTGGAGAAAAACAAAAGAAAAGACAAAAAGGATTAGGACTCCTTCCCCTATCTAGGGAAAGATCAGCCCTCAAGTCTGCAGGGTCCTCAGCAGAATGACCTCAAATCCGTTTTCCAGTGGGATCTTGTGGAAGCCCAGGGCAATGGCTCCTCGGAAGATACTGCTAGGCCCATTGTACAGAGGAGAAAATTAAGGTGCAAAATGATGGCTTGACTTTGCAGAACCACATATATACTCCAAGGCAGGGGCAGAAGGAGACACCAAACCTCTGATGTGTAGGCCATGGACCTTCCCCTGCCCACGCTGTCTGGTGTAGGCAGAGCAAGGCTGGGCCACGGCTCTGCTTAGGAGACAGTTTTCAAATGCAAACCTGGCCTTGCCACTGCCTTACTTAACCAAACCCCAAACCTGTTGCCTTCGAGTCAATTCTGACTCATTGCGACCTTATAGGACAGAGTAGAACTACCCTACAGGGTTCCCAAGGCTGTAAATCTTTATGGAAGCAGACTGCCACATCTTTCTCCCACAGAGCAGCTGGTGGGTTCAAATCGCTGACCTTTTGATTAGCAGCCAAGCACTTAACCACTGCACCACCAAGGCGCTCTACTTAAAACTCTTCAAAACCCCTTCTCTCCTTCAAAATTGCCCCCACTGCTCTGAGAGTAAAGTCCGGGCAGTAAAGGGCAGGGGTTCAGAGTGTAACTTAGGAGGGAAACAGGCTAGACTCGAAGCCCAGCCCTACTACTTCCCAGCTGGGTGACTTGAGCAAGACACTCAGCCTCTCTGACCCTCAGGTTTCCATCTGTAAGTGGGGCTGCTAAAAGTGCTCACATCCTAGGGTCGTCCTAAGCATCCATGCCTATGGCCCTGCCTTCTGCTCTTCTTCATCTACAGTCACTCCCTGGCTGGGCTCTTCTGATTCCCCTGGCTTTAAATTCCACCTAAAGGCTGACAGTCCACAAACGTCTTATTTCAGAGCCCCAGTCTTGCACATCCAGCTCTCTCCTCGACTTCTGCTTGTGGATGTCTAATGGACATTTCCAGTTTAACACATGGAAAACTGAACTCTCAATTCTTCTCTTCCCCACCTGCTCCTTCTCTCAGCCAATGGCACCATCACCCACACAGTTGCTCAGATCCCAGACCTTAGAATCATCTGATTCTTCAGTTTCCTTTATACCCCACATCTGAGCCTTTAGGCAAATCCTTCCAGCTCCACCTTCAAAATCCCAATTCCAACCGCTCCTGCTCACCTCCACTGTATCCTCTCCAGGCCAAGCAGTCTTATCTCTTTCCTGGACAAGTACCTGAGCATCCTACTGCCTCCCTGCTTCCCTCCTTGCAGCAGCCAGAAAGGGCCTTTTAAAGTCAACCCCAGTGCAGAATCCTCCAATGGTGCCCCTTCACATTAGTATAAAATCCTAAGTCTGACCATGGCCTTCAAGGCCCCATACGACTTGGTTCCTGCTCACTTCTGTAGGCTCATCCTCTCACTCACTGTACTCTAGCCACATTCTATGTTGTTCTTTAAGCATACAAGCACAGTCCTGCCTCAGGGCCTTTGCATATGTGGTTTCTTCTGTCTGAAGGCTTTTCCCCTGATCTCCACATGGCTCCCTCCCTTCTTTGCTCAGGGCTTTCATCAAATGTCGCCTTCTCTGTAAGGACTACCCCCTGCCCACTTTTCCATCCCTCTCTGCTCTTCTTACACACTTTACTTTTCTTAGTAGCACATCATCACAATCTGCTTCTTGTTGTTGTTTTATATATTGTCTTTCTCCTGCCTCTAGAAGGTAAGCTCCATGAGGCCAGTGCCTCGTATATCCCCAGTACCTAGAATAATCCCTGGCACATAGTTGCTGCTCAGTAAATATTTGCTGAATTAATGAATGATAAATGTAAAGAGTCAACATTTAGACTAATGCCTGACACATAGTGAACTGACCCACTAAACATTAGATGTCGTTCTGAGAGCACCATCATTCTTACTATTACCAGCTGGCCTCTCAGGCCCTGTGTGTCTGAACTTGCTGGTGTTTCCCACACACGCCTCTTGCCCTATCTCACCCCACACTGGAATCTCTGGCCAGACTGAACTGTGGGCTCATGAGCAGGTTATTCAGCCTCCTCAGGCCTCAGCTTTTCTCCTTCGTACAATGAGACTTAAAAAAATGTTCATCTTATTTCATAAAAGCCGAGTGTCCTTTTCAGCTCTGACAAATGGCTACAAGGCTTCCCTCAGGGAATTTCTCCACAACTCTTTGTGCAAAAGTACCTACAACGTGCAAGTTTGGCTACCATATTCCACTAGGCTGGAATCTTCCTACGTATTATCTTGTTAACCCTCAGGGTAACACTTCACAGATATTTATCATCCCTATTTTATAGATGAAGAAACTGAGGCTCAGTGACCTAAGGTAACTGGCCCAGGGTCACGTCGGCAGTGTCAAGATTCAAACTCTACCCCTTTTAGAACTGGTTTTTAAGTCTATATTACGCTCGCAACAACACTATGGGGTAGTAGGTTGTTTTACAAATGAGGAAACTGATGCTCTGGAAGTTTCGATGATAGATTTATCTTTATCCTCATCATCACTGCAGTTATTGCTTACTGAGTACTTATTCAGCTCTGCTACAGGATTTACATGTGTAATCCCATCTAATTTCTCCTGCAAGAAACATATTAACATGACCGTTTAATAGATAAGGAAACTAAAGCTCAGAAAGATTAAGTACCTTGTCCTGAAGGTCACACAATGAGTTAAAAATGGATGGGTGGCTGCCCTACTGGCTAGGCTATGGCCGAGGTACCCCCCAGCCAGCAGCCTCTCTACACAGAGTGGCTTTGCTTTCAGAGGCCCCAGGAGAGGTGAGGGAGGTACTCACAGCTTGAGGACAGCTGACCGTTTCCCCAGCATCATATTCACAAAGTCTCGGTAGGAGATGGTGTCGCTAACCCCACCCGTAACTTCTGAGATCATCTTCTTCATCTCCAGGTGGGTCTTGGGGACCCCAAGCTTCTCCATCATCCTCTTTAAAGACATCAGGTCTGCCAAGAGGGAAAAGCAGATGTGTTAAGTGTAGACTGGCTGCTGGGGCCGAGTGAGCAAGCTGGGAAGGCTCCACTCAAGGGCACCCCAAACCCAGAAGCTAGGTGGGGAGATGTCCTCGTGGGAAGAATGAGCCCATTGCACTCTCCTTGTTTCCTTTAGAGGCAGTATAGATTAGTGGTAAAGGACAGGGGCTTCTAGAGTCAGACACACAGTTCTGCTGTTCCTGGATGTAGGTCCCTGGGTGGCGCAAATGGTTTGCATTTGACCACTAACCTAAAGTTTGGCAGTTCAAACCCAGCCAGCAGTGCCATGAAAGAAAGCCCTGGTGATCTGTTTCCGTAAAGACTACGGCCAAGAAAACCCTATGGAGCAGTTCCACTCTGTAACAAAGGGGATCACCATGAGTTAGAATCAACTCCAAGGCAATGGGTTTGGGTTTTTGCTTTGTTTTTTTTTTTTCCCTGGCTTTGGGGTCTGGGGTGAACTACTCTAGCTCTCTAAATCTCTGCTTCTATCAGTTGTAAATGGGTAATGGGATCATTCAGAAGGACCAGGTCATGAAGTACCTGGCACAGAGCAGCTCTGTAAGGAGAGCCATTGTTGTTGTTAGTTGCCGTCTAGTCAATTCCAACTCATGGCAACCCCATGTGCACAGAGTAGAACTGCTCCATAGGATTTTCAAGCTGTGACCTTTCAGAAGTAGATCACCCGGGTCAGTCTTCCAAGGCGCCTCTGGGTGAGTTCGAACCACCAACCTTTTGGCTAGGAGTCCGGCACTTAACTGTGTGTGCCACTCAGGGACTCCCGAAGAGAGCCATAGTTACGCCATACAGCTGTTGTTGCCCTCTCTGCTGCTCCCTTCAGTGAGGGTGAGCCTGGCTCACTACTTCCTGCTAGAAATCATTGTCCAGACAGGTGGGGGAAGGGAGTAGCCTGACCTCAGGCAATAAACGCCACTCTCCGGGGCTCTGGGTGGCTTGTCCCGACCTGCTACTCCCACCCCTGCAGTCTGCTAGGCTGGAAGGCAGAGGGTGCCAAAAATATCCTGCAGAGCAGGAAAACCAACAAAATAACAAAATTCATGAAAAACAAGGGAGGCACCCAAAAGTCACTACACGCTGAAGAGCTGCAGCCTCTGAGCTCCCCACTTCAGCCAAGATCTGAAGCAATTTCCTTCAGATTGTTCTCCAGGGAACAATGGACTAGCAAGGGAGGCTGGAGTGGCGGGGGTGGGGTCTGATTTCAGGTCTGAGGGAGTCATGGTGAGGCCAGCGCCCACCCGAGGGGAGGGCGGGCAGGACTGGGGCCAGACCCCTAGGTGCCAGGATGTCCAGGACATTTCAAAGAAAGCTGGGCAGCGTTCTTCAGGAAGGAGTGAAAGGTCTTCCCCAGCTGCTAAACCAGACTCTCAATTACTGTGACCTTTCTGGAGGGCAATTTGGCAAGATGCTTCAAAAGCCTCTGACCCAGAACTTCTAATTCCTGGGATTTACTCTAAAGAAATAATCAGCGATGCAGACAACGATTCACGTACAAAGATGCTCTTCACAGAATTATCAACAGTAGTTAAAATTGGAAATCATCTAAATGCTCAGTACTGAGGCATTGGCCAAGTAAATTATAATCCATCGCTATAATGAAGTATTATGTAGCTATTAATTTTATTTCAGAAGAAAGGTTAACAGTATGTCAAAATATTCACATACATTAAGTTTTTCTTTTTTAAAGGAGATTCTAAAACGATATACAAGACCGCATTTGTAGGTGTGCCATTAAAAAAAAAAAAAAGTGAAAAGATGTAAACCAAAATGTTTATAGCAGTTATTTCTGGGATGTGGGATTGTGGGTGACATATTTTCATCTTTGGGTTTTGCTGTATTTTCCAACATTTTTTATAATGGATATGTTTTCATTTTATACTCAGAAAAAGCTTTTTTAAAGAAAAAAAGATCAAAATATTCAAAAGGGAACAGAAAAGAGAGAGGACAGAGAAGCAGGAACGGAAGCGCCAGTGGCAGCAGTGACAATACTGGTTAGTGTGAAATAGAGGAGAGAAGCCACTTGGAAATCGAAAGCTGGGATCTGGGCCCCGGGCCTGCCACTGAGTAACCAGGTGGCCCAAAGCAAGCTGTTTCACCTTTCCGAGTCTCAGTTTCTTTGTCTATAAAATGGGGATAATTACACCAGCCCTAACTTCAGAACGTTACCGGTGAAGCTCAAGATATGGTCTTCCCACCAGGACATAAGTGCCTGGACAGCAGGATGCAGTAAGGATCTATTGGAGGGGAATCAACAAATGTGAAACCACCCTATCAACTGTAGGACACGTACAAATGGAAGGACAGGCTTGGGGAGAAAGGAAATGCCCGCCCCCTGGGTCAAGGGGTCAATTGCCATCCACCCTGGAGCAACCTGAGTCCTTCCAGCCCAGGGTCCTTGTAGCAACTGGGGTGGGAGGCTGAGGCCTGGGCAGGCAGGTAGGGAGGGGAGCAGTGGGGAGATGGCTTGACAGGACATGGCCTTGACAGGAGTGGACAGAGGTTCAGACTGGCTCGGCTGGCCTAGCACATTGGGGAAGCTTCAGCATATGTGTCACATTCATGGGACCACCCTGTTCCCCCCAACCTCCATCACCAAGGTTGGTCAGTGGGGGGTCTCTGGACCCTCACACCCTCTGCCCACACCTAACACCCCCCTCCCCAGACACACACTCCTCAAGACTTCACTCACCAATCTCGCCTTCATTGTTCAGGTCAAACTCCATGTACTTCTCTGGAAATCACAGAGCAAAAACTAGCATTAGCTTTGGAGCAGGATCACTCCCTGTAGGGACCCAGTGGCTTCCCTTGAGGGTGACTGGGAGCAGGGTCCTTGGGGAGCCTAAGCCATCATATTCACTCCACAAGGGATGGGGGTCTTGACATGAGTCCCGCCATCTTAGTCATTGTCTCTGAAGAAAGAGCTCACCATGCCTGCACCCTTGTCCCATGGTGCCATGAGGGAAAGGTGGCCGGGGGCAAGGCTGACCTCAACGGGGCAGGTTTCCACCAGCATAGGCTGCCTATGGATCAGCTGGGAAGGGACTCAGATTCCCAGCCCTGGAGAGTCAGGGGCAGTGAGTTTGGGAAGGGCGGGTGGGACCGGGATTGGTGTGTTTTTAAAGTGTTGCTGCCGGGCAGGTGTGGGAGCCGCCAATTTCAGGAATCACCCTGGCTCTGAATCTTTTGGGGAGTCATATACACCACTGAGAACCAGACGCTCTTCCAGAAGAAATGCCCGTGGGCCTGCCCTTGCCCACAAATGGTACATACAGTTTCCAGGGGTACACAGAATCTTCCCCAAACCCCACCTACAGACTTTGAGTTAAAAATCCCTGATCAAGGGGTCCAGGAAACCGCCACTAACACGGGAAGACAACTCAAAGCAAGGAGCATGGTTATCTTCTATCTTCTGACTGGGGCAGTGTGTGCAAACAACCACGTGGCCTCGGGCAGGTCTCCCATTCCACAGAAGGGGTAGGGGAGGGCTCGCTGTTAATTCTGCACCCAGCGGCCAGCATGAGAAAGTCCTTACAGCTGCCTGGGGACCCATGTCATCTTCACCAGTGTGTGCCCTCCAGCTTCTAGGCTGCCTCTCCTACCGTTCCATCCATGCCAGTCCCACTGGCCTTGCTGTTGCTGGCATAGTCCACACCTGCTCCTGCTCAGGGCTTTGCACCTACTTCTCCTCCGTCTGGAATGCTCCTCCCAGTATTCTCAGGGCCTCTCCCCATGCCTTCAGGCCACCCCCCTTACCCTTTCTAAGAGGGCACCCCTGCCCTCATCCCTGTCCTTCCTACCTAGGTTCACATCTCACCAAAGTGCTTACTTTTTATCTCCTTGCTCTGTTCACCATCCACCTTCCCCACTAGAACACAGGTGCCTTTGGGCCAGGCCTTCTTGTGTGTTCACTGCTGTCGTCCCAGGCCTAGAATGGAGTCTGGCGCATAGTAAGTGCTCAGTAAAATTTGGTGGAGATCAAATGAGTGAATGATTTAAAGACCTCTGCAGTCCCTTTCAAGGAGTCCTGGTGGCACAATGGTTAAGCACTTGGCTGCTAACTGAAAGGTCAGTGGTTTGAACTCACCAGCAGCTCCCCAGGAGAAAAGACCTGGCAATCTGCTCCCATAAAGATTACAGCCTAGGAAATCTAATGAGGCCGTTCAACTCTGTCACATGGAGTCACCGTGAGTTGGAACCGACTTGAGGACACAAAACAACAACAGTCCTTTTCCTTCCAAGGTAACTTCCTGTGGTCCCAGTACATCTCGACTGGCCCCATCCTACATCCCAATGATACCAAGAGTGGACATAAGATCCCTATGGCTCTATCCCTACTTCCAGAGCCACCTCTGGAGAGTGACCTTGTTGGTATCCAGACAAAAGGGAATGAATGGGCTGCTTCTCCTTTGCACGACTCTCCTACAGGCTGCTGGGATGGGACAGGGATGGAGTGTCTTTTTTCTATTTCTATTTCTTTTTCGTAATGTAAAAAGCATCATAGCATAATGGTTAAGAGCAGGGGCTTTGGAGTCAGACCGACATGGTTTCAAGTCCCAACTGTGCCATGAGTGAGTTGTGTGACCTCAGGCAAATGGAGCCCTCTCTGAGCCTCCATTTCTCCAACTGTAAATCAGCGATGATACAATCTCCTTCCTGGGTGGACTGGGATAATTTCGGGGAGCTAGCAATGCAGCACGTAAAGTGTGCTCCCATGTGGTTGGCACTCGCCAGATGCCAGCTGTTATTAGTAGTATTAGCCGTAGGTGTCCTGCTGCCCAACCAAGCAGGAAGCTGCTTGAGGAGCACTTGGCCAGTTCTTTGCCTTGGAGCAGGGAGGATGCCCACATTGCCAAGACGCTGGGGAGGGGGGGAGTGCAGCCTCCAGTGAGCCCAGGCCTCCTGCACCCCGCATGCCTGGCCCGGCAAGCAAGGTGGGCCTGCCCCCACTCCTTCTGTGCATGGCTCCTCTCCTATCAAGCGCTGGCTGGGAACCAGGAGCCGGGGCCCCAAACAGAGAGACCTTTATGCCGCCCCTCTCCCTGCGCGGGCTCCCAGGCCCTGTTTTCTTTTCATGCTGTGCTGCCGGGATTCAATGGGCAGAAACTCTGCCCCCCTGCCCCACTGTAGTGACACAAACGTCCATTCTCCACAGGGGCTCCACTGCAGAGGGGGAGAGGCAAGGGCAGTTCACAAAGGGCTGATTGTGTGCTGGGGCCCCGGGAGCAAGCAGGGCCTGGGCAGCGGCGGGCAGTAACCAACCTGAGCCCAGCTGGGCAGCTGGGGGAGAGAGAGGGGCAGGCCAGGGTCTGCAGGCTGAGAGGCGAGGGGGCCTGCGTAGGCCAGAAAGAGGGACATTCTAGATGAAACAGAGCCATAGTTTGGCCCTGTGAGGCTAAGGAATGAAGTGTATAAGGGGCTGGGGGGGTCAGCCTAGCTCTCCCAGGATGGCAGAACAGCCAGCCCCAGCTTACCCTTGAAAGCAGCGAGCTTTTCTGGCAGGTCCTCTTCATCGCTGTACTTCTGGTCACAGAGAAACTCCTACAGAGGTGAGAAGGAAGTGCTGAGGAAAGGGGTCAGCAGGCAGAACTCATCGACACACAGGCCCATGCCCTGTTCCCCCTCTCCTGCTGGGTATCCGGGCTTGGCCAGGCACAGCCAGAGTCCACAGTGTTTGCCCTGGCTCCCTGTCAACCCTTGGAGGTGGCTCTGCCCAGGCCACCCTGTGGGAATGAAGTTTCTCAGTAGCGTGGGGTGGGGCCCAAGGGTCTTCTCTAGAAGACTAAAGGTTGGATTATGGGTGCGGGGACCTGTGCCTCTCCCCAGGGCACTCTGGCTCCAGGATCCATGAAGCTGTGAGTTCCAAAGACAGGCTGCCTGGTTCCATCATTAACTTCTTAGATATGTGATCCTGAGCCAATTAACTCACCTCTCTGTACATCTATTGCCTTATCTGCCAAATGGGGATAATTTTGTAGCTATTTCCTGGGTCATGTATGAGAATCAAATGAAAAATGAATATATGACTCTTGGCATATAGTAAGTGCTCAATAAATAGCCGCCATCATCATTAGCCTCTGCTCTGGCCAGAAAATGACTGTACAATGCTTGGGAGATCATTTACCCTCTCATCTGTTTCTTCGTCTGTAAAATGGGGGTTTTGATCCCTGGTCCACCTTCCCCTCAGATGCTTGGAGAGCATCAAATGAGTCATTTCAGAACCAGATGGGTGGGGTCACAGGGGACTAACAGTAGCCTCCAGAGGAGGAAGACTATGCTCAACACCTTACAGCATTACCTCTTTGAATCTCCCAGTAGTCCCAAGAGGTAGCTACTATTATTACACCCATTTTATAGATGAGAAAACTTAAGCTCACGCAGCCAGCACTTCAACTCAGCTCCGTCTCATTTAGAGCCTGCATCCTTAAGCCTAACACTTAAAGATGGGAGATTGCGGGAGTTCGTCTGATCTAGTCTCTGGCCTTAAAGCAAAAAGCCACCAATTGGCGAGCACCTGGTACACACCGGCACAGCACCTGGTATCTTACGTGGCTTGTTGCTAACCTCCAGCAGTCCTAGAATCTGCACTGAGATGGGGAAGCGGAGGACGTGTGCCCATCCTAGCCCTGCCCAAATGCATTCTGGGACTCTGGTAGTCCCCTGATTTCTCTGGACCTCACTTTCCTCATTATTGAGCCAATTGGCATTGCTCCTCTCCATCCATTCATCCCACCTTTTTGAAAGACTACAGTGTACACTGCACTGGGCTAGGCACCGAGGGAGGGGGTGTGACCAAGGTGAGTAAGATCAGGTCCCTATCCTAAAGTTACAGAAAGTCTGTGTTTAAAATGATGTTAAATGTTATCGAGGTCAACCACTCAATCTGTTTCTAAATTCCTGCTATCATTTCCAACTAAATAGTGACCAAGTCTGTATTTACACATCTCCTAGGACCAAAAAAAAAAAAAAAACAAGAAGACAAACTCGTTGCCATCAAGTCGATTTCGACTCATAGCGACCCGAACGGACAGAGTAGAACTGCCCCATAGGGTTTCCAAGGAGCACCTGGTGGATTCAAACTGCTGACCTTTTGGTTAGCAGCCATAGCTGTTAACCACTACACCACAAGAGTTTCGCAGGGAACTCATTATCTTTGCTGGTACTGGCCCGTCTATGGTTGTAAACCCTAAGAGGCTTAGAGTAGAACAGGGGGATGACAAGAATCTAAATGACTATAAAGCAATCTGGGTTTTGATCTCAGCCCCCCCACTTACTACCTGTGAAATGGGCACAACAGTACCCATCTCCTTGACTACCAACCCCTCAGTGGGGATGATCCATGGGAACACTGAGCACTGGGCTCAGCATGTCAGCTCTCAGTAAGCAATGGGTGTGATTGTGAGTATGAGGCAGAATACAATTCCTTCTAGGTCTCAGCTCCTCCACATTAACTGTGACAGACTGGAGAAACCATATTCCAGTGTGGTTACCACCACTCTCCTCACTGGGTCTGGGAAGTCTCGTTGCTCCCTTGCTTTGGGTAAAACATTGATTGTGGCAGGCACTATGTTATCCCATTAAATCTATTGTCACTATTACTGTGATTTTACAGGTGAGAACTCGAGGACCACAGAGGTTAAAGTCCCTAGACACCTGCGGATGTGGTAGGGTTGGTTTGGAACCTGGGCATGTTGGGCGCCAAGGTCCACGCCCTCCTGTGGCTGAGGGCAGCTCCGGAGGCCATGGGTCTGGCTGGCTCTGCCTCTCCTTAGCAGGAGCTGGCCCCTCCTCCCAGCTGGCTCTGTTGAGGGCTTCCTTTCCTCTTGGCTCCCTCTTCTAGTTCTTCCCCGCTGCCCCTCCACCCCATTCTCTGACCAAAAGGAGGACAATTAACTCTTGTCTGTGACCCCGAGTAAACCAGGCACCTCCCGGGGCCACAGATCCGATATCTATCCAGTGGAAGGACAAATTAGGTCAGCAGTTGCCAGACTTTGGGGGTAATATGGACAATAAACATTCCCCCCAAAGGGGGGGGGGGGACTCGTATAGGGCTGCCAAGTTTTTATTTTGCCAAGACTGTTTAAACAATTACCATTGACTAGTGCCATGAGTTCAGAAAAGGACATTTCATAAAAGTAAGAAGTGTATATCTCAGAATGTAAAAATGAAATCAGTTTAGCCCATGTTCAACTCACTACATTGCCTCTATATTCCCTTCATTTTACCAATAAGCAGAAAACCTTCGTGGGGAAACACAGGGCACAGGCAAGGCCCAGCATCTGGGAACCTCTAGGGAGCCGTTTGGAGGGTGCCTCCCTCCCAGCTCCCATGTTCTGGTTTCCTGAACTCCTGCACCAGCCCTGAACCTGTCGGTAAGTTTGCACCAACCACCCTCATGGACCCAGTTCTACTCAGTCACTTCCGAGGCGAAGGCCACGGCCCCTGGTCTTAGAGATAAATCACACAAGGACACAAAACAGGAAGGCAGCAATTGAGAGCAAGGGTGGGCAGGAGCACAGCGTGGACTCCTCTCAGCAGGCATCACCCCATAAATCGTCATAGCAGCCCTAGGGGTTGCTGTTTTCTCCTTAGCACTATCACCACCTAACATACGAATTTGTGTCCCCCACTTCCTCTCACCCACTAGAGTGGGTGCCCCAGCCACCCTGGCCTCCTTTCCATGCCTCCCATGTGCCAGACACACACCCACCACAGGACCCTTGCTCTGGCTGTGTCCCCTGCCTGTAGTGCTCTTTCCATATCTGTGTGGCTCATTCCCTTACCTCCTTCAATCCTTTCTCAAGTGTCACCTTTGCAAAGAGGCCAACCCTGTCTACCCTATTTTCTACTGCAACCTACCCACTGCAGACCCCACTCTGCTTCCAATCCACCTTATCTTGCTCTGCTTTTCCTTTTATTTCTATAGGATGAATCACCTCCTCATGATGTAAATGCTTATTAGGGTCCACTGTCTGTCTCCCCCAGCTAGACTGTAGGCCCCACATAGTAGGCACTCAATAAATATTTGCAGGATGAGTGAATGAACTCAGATGCAGAGAGAAGAAATAACTTGCCCAAAGCAGCACAGCTAGAAAGTGGCCAAGCGAGACTTGAGCTCCACAGCAGATGCTGCTCCTGCTCCTTGCCCTGCACGGAGCTGAGTAGGAGCGACCAAGGCCATGGGTGTTGGAAGGACACCAGGAGGGGAGGCAGGTTCTCAGCCACAGGCTCTAGGAGGATGGGTTGATAGTCTGTGCCCCGCAGCATGCCCAGCACCCAGCAGTGCCCAGCATCTAGTTGGTGCTCAACAAACATTGGTTGAATGGAGAAGCCATTCAGACCCCCACGCAGCCCCCATTTCTTTTCTCTACCCTCACTCCTAGAATGGTTAGGCAGCTTTACTCAAAGTGTGTGCATGTGTGTGACAGACACCAGAGGGGACGAAGGGATTGGACTCACACCCTTCCGCGCAGCCAACATGACAAAATGCTTGAGCCACCGAGTGACCGGGGTGGGAGAAGCAGCTGACCAGCTCATGTGTGGGTAGACAGCCCTCGCTTGCCCTGGGCTTAGGGCAGCTGTGCGGACCATGCCCTTAGAGCAGGCGGGTGGCAGGCAGAAACAGGAGTTCCCCGGTCTGGCAGCCAGCCCCCACCTCAGAGCTTTGGATTCTTGGTTCCTGCTCACACACAGCCCACAGCTTCCTCCCTCCAGGCATCCTCCCCTCTACACCCTTGTCTAGCCTTGGGGCACAGCTATGCCCAGTGGGCAGGCTACCCTGTCTGTGCAGACTCAAGAACCCCCAGCAGCTCTGGCCCTGGGTCTGTAGGCAGAGGAGACAGAGGTAGAATTCATCCCAGATCCTTGGAAGAAAAACAAAAGAAGCAAAAAGAGGGCGAGCTGGAGCAGACTACCTGGGTTTGAATCCTCTTAGTGGCTGTATAAAAACTATTGTAAAAATTGTCTATGACTCAGTTTCCTCATCTGCAAACCAGAAAGGATAAAAAAAAAACCACCTCACAGGCTTGCCCTGAGAATTACGGTATATACGGAAATACATGTAAAGTACGAAAAACAGTGCCTGGCACTTAGTAAATGCTAAATAAATGTTAGGTATTTATTTTTATTATTTTCTAACCTTTTTTTATATAGTCAACTTATAACTCCCAGTCCATTTTCAAGTGTTAAATAGATTAGGGAGAAAACCCCACCACCTGACTTAGGCTAGTTATGATTTTTCTTTTTCCTTACTTAGTATCCCCATTTGACAGATGGGACAACTGAGCCCCAGAGAGGTTGCCCAACTTGCTCAAATTTACAAAGTCTTAACAAGTCAAGGTTTACTTCCTGCCACTGTCCCTGCTCCCTCCCTGTCCCAAACTAGGAGAGAAAGTGGCCTGGCCGCAGTTTTCTGGGCAAAGAAAGTCAATACTGGAGTTACCTTGCTCTTAGGCAGAGGCAGGAGGTTATTCCAGAGGCCAGGGAAACACTCTACAGCCCTCTTGGGGGATAAGGAGGCAGATGGTTTACTCTGTCCCATC